AGAGATGCTTGAATATGATTGAAAATTATCAAATCCTTCGGCAGCATTCTGCGGTTACACATAGCACAACTTACATTGCTGCAGCTGAAAACAGGAAGATACGGCATGTGACGCTTCTTGTTTCGAAGCTTCTACTCTTTATAGCCCTGAGGTTTTTATCCTGTGAAAAAATTCATGTTAGTCTAAGATATTCATGCAGCCCGCGGCTAAGAGACATATGAACCAGCGGTCGCCCTGTGTGGAACTAAAAAAGTGAATCAGTTGATCAATCCTGGAATTTGGCTGTATTAGTGGAGGTACATGTATAGTACATGTAAAGTAGGCAGTATAACAAGGGGCGATCGACCGAGGGATCCTCAGAACAGCGAAGGAAATTATCATGTGACACTTGACAACTGAAGAAGTTAACTGTTTCGGTGTGAGTAGGCCTTGCTCAAGTGAGAGAGCACCTAAAGGGTCATGTGCATCCCAGTGAAATATTTCCAAAGGTCCTATGGTGCAGTTTTCTGCAACCACGGTCTGTTATGCTTTCCTCGACTGTGAGCCTCAGACTCGTCTATGGTATACAACTGATCACAAAGACATCGTGTGTGAAATGCACTGTTGTTTACACCCAGAATGTTCTCATCTGACTGCTTTCCTTGGTAGTAAAACTTCATGAGTTTCGCCCACGCTTGTCGTTTAACCTCTGCATGCGCACTTTCACGCACAAACTTTCTCCATTATAGTTCTACCCCTCACGATTCCTATAAATTATGATCAGAATATTTCACGATTTCTCCCACACTTGTCCTGTTCTTCATTTGGATTAATTCATAAACCATGGTGAGAAATCTTTAGGATAGTGTGGAAGTGACAGTGAACTTTACACAGCCTAGCAACTGAGTTTACGGTATCCGTCCTAAGTTATTACTGGTAACACTTCTGGTTATTCCAGTGAAGCTTTTCAGGGGCACATATGTCTGTTCTTTAGTCGGCCTGTTTGCCGTTTGCACACGTTTCCAACTATTTGAGAAGACATCATTTGTGTGCTGTTGGACTATACAGAAGCCTCCTCTTCTTGCTGACTTGCGTGCTTTCGTTGGTGTGGAGTGTTGGATCATATTAGAGGCACTGTCACGCCTATTGATTTCTGTAAGCCGAGTTAGTTCAGTCGCAGTTAATAAGTTACTCCTGTCTAGGCGTGAAGGGTCAGAGGTCACATCTTGTGTTTAAAGCCGAAAATGCGCAACAGTGAGTCACGTGGTCATCTGGCACATGGTTAGGAGGGGCACTAAAAAGTCATCAGGAGAAACTTAACTGTGGCTGAAATGTTTCTGTATCAATGACTGAAATTTCCTACTTTTCTTCACGGACATGATTTCTTGTCCCGCATCGGTACTGGATCTTTCCATGGCGTAAGTGAAGCATAGCTACTTTTTAGGTTCGCCTCAGGACTTCCTACCAGCATGTAGAGTGAACCTGAACTTGTGAACACCTATCTGACATGTACTAACCGAGATGTCAATGCAAGTGACAATTGCTTGAACGATTTATTGGCATTCACTATTCCGGGCTTCAAAGTATTAATTATTATTAATTATTAATTCCCCTCTGTTGTTCTGCCATAGGTGGTGCGTCAGATCCACATGACGAAGTCCTAATTCCAGAGACGCTTCTGCACGAGAACTACAAGTACCTCGAACGAATTTATAAAGAATACTTGCGTTATGTGTGCCAGGATTATAACGAGGAAGACGTGAGTCAGTGCAAAATATAGTTTGATCCGAGTACCTCTTAAGTTTCTTTTGAAGAATCTAAAGCTTCAATGATCTCGAATATGAACGAGAAAGGGGCATCGGCTATTGATGCTTACAGTCTCAGAAAGCCACCAGTTGCATAATATGACCTTGAAATCTTGAGGAAATACCAACGCTTTTCGAGAAATGCACTAATTTGCAAATCATTTTGGTTTTCACGAGAGACCCAACTAAATCTCTCGTTTATGATATTCTACAACTAAATGTGCTGTACACAGGCCGCCCCATGATTCAGTGTGGGAATTAGGTTCGGTACTTTGTTCCGTACGTACGTTCAGTTGGCACGATATTCAAGATATCGCAGTATATTTTCATAAAGGAAACTACTCACAATGTTGCTGAAAACTCTTCAGAAAATAACAACGCTGTTTTGGTGTATAAACCACTGCATAATTAATTGTTGGGCAAATGTTTGAGGTAGTCATGAACATTTTTTGCAAACGTGAAACACTTGAGACGGTCACTTCTAGAAGTTTTAACCTTGACATGAAACTTAGATGAAAATGGCACAAAATGGTGGCAAGTAAATTTGAATAAAAATTAGCTGAACCAAATTGCACCGGTAAAACTTGTCACTATTATCTCAAATCTACATCAAACGCGGTAAAACATACTAAGGTATGGGGAACGCCTGATTTTTTTTGCAAACATCCCAGCAAATGCGGTCAAACCCATGGGTCAATAAAGTTGGTTTTCACTTGAAAAATGAGGTCAGGCGAATCAACTCCCTGGCAGTTCCCTTGGCCACTTAATTCCGGGACACTTGTAGTCTTTCCCGGGACACATTAGGAAGATATATTCTGCCAGCGTAAGGGTTGCTCGAAACCGTTTCTTTTTAGTTCGAAGTAAGTACTACAAATGGATTGGATTGTCATGCATTTGATCAAAAACGCACTTAGAATATTATGATTTTACTCATGGACTTCTTCTAATGGGCTGACGTCAGTTCATGCCGAAAAGCTTAGAAGCACTCGATTACTAAAAAACTACTGATAATATGCCAAGGAGCGAACCAGTCAGTTGAGAGTTCTGGAGGAAACAATCAACACTCCTTCGCATGAAGTCAGTCTATGCAGCTCACGTGAGAGTGACACTGTACCCTATTAAATTACTAGTAGAACACTGCTGATCAGCCTCCCAAGGCTGAATCTAGAAGTATTTAACTGTTATCTCAGTGGTTGTTGCTTCAAATTTGCCGTGACTTTGGTGAAATTCACTCTGTGGATGATCTCCTCCTAATAGGAAACACCACACGACCGAACGCTGCATAAGTTTCATTTTTTGTAGATGAATTATTTTTTGGTTTTTCGAGGCTTTAATTCAATTGTTGACTACTCAAATAGTCAGCTTGTGTGCTGCGTTCTATTCTAGCCAATGAAAGGAAAGCTGAAATGTTTCAGTAGGCTTGATACACACGAACTTCATTTGCTCTTGCTGATGTTTACTCACTTATCCTAACTTCTCAAGTAGAAACCTCCGAATTGTTCAAAAGTGGCTCCCTTAATTAGTATACCGGAATCTGAAGCTGCAACCACATATATCGTATTTTGTTGTTTGATTTCCGTCAAGTCACAAAGTGTGGCTCAAAACCAGAAAGACAACTGTAGGCCTACCGACATCCATGAGAAGCAAACTAGTAAGGGCAAACGGATTTGCTTCCGGTTTTCCAACAACTGATAGGACAGCAAACTTTTCTTCCAAGACAAAAAAATCCGGCACAAAACTCGAATTCTTTTGTTGTGACTCGCTTGTTGTAGGATAAAAAGACAGCTGGTTCTCGACGAACCTTTAATGCTGTAGAGTTAGATGTGATTGGCTGGTGAGCAAAAATCACCCAGCTAAAAAACCGATGAAATGATCGATACGAAGCGTGAATCAATAAAGTAATGCATTTCCAAATTCACTAGAGGCATTCGCATATCTAATCGTATAGATAAACTCAGAATGAATATTCATACGATACCCACCTCTTTTGAATGGAAGTTTTTGAGGATTCGGGCTTATTCATCTGAGCCAAGGATGGCGAATTTTGCAAGTTACTGTCTAAGGAGAGCTCTGTGTTAATTACGAAACTGCACAAAGGTTGTACTTAAGAACCAAAAGTTTGAATGCTGAAAGACCAACTGAAATATATGTGCACCCGATTTCCATGGTGAACTTTCTACGGTTGGTACATTGACTGTGCAATTGTTGGGTACTTTCGTCCTGCCGCGAGCTGTTTCCTGAGATATGAAAAGTCGCGCATTTTGTCAATATCTGTTTTTTTTATCCTCTAACCCTTTCTTGGCATGTTAAGATTTCGCAACACTTGGCTCCGTCTTGACGAAATGAGCAAAGGGGTTTCAATGTCTTGTATTTTCCCATCTTATGTTTTTAGCAGACTAAAATGTCTGACTTCATTTAGAGCTGTCAAGAAAACAAATCTTTTTACCGCCTTCACCTTTGAGTAACGGTTGACTTTGGATAAAATTAGTGCAGTAAAACCGCGTAATAAGGAATTATCGCTGGGATTTTCCCTTGAAGCAAGGCAACCCACTTAACCCACTTAACGGAGACCATATTCTGCGGACAACCAGATATGATAGCCAGCCAAATCAATGGTAGTCTTTCCGTTGAGTTCCAGATACACAACTTTGAGTCACGCGTAGATTTGACGACCCCGGCGCAGAGTAGCACTAAGTTCCGCGCACTGGATAGCGGCCAACGGCGTGTTGGCTTGGTGGACTGGGCTGCAGTCATCCCTTTCGAGACCAGTGTCGCCATTCTGATTGGCGGTGCGCCCACAAGGGTGTGACTACGGGACAAGTAAGGACAGGACCAGAAGACAGACAACGCGCATGGAGAAGTAGGTGCAGTGACACGCGACGCGAACTGACATATCGGTGTCCAAGGCGTGCGACTTTTGCGGCGTGGTGAATGGTGGGTGGACACGGTGGTGGCGACAGGAAAACAGATGCATAAGCGGATCAAGAAAAGGAGTGGGCAGACATCGGGCTATCCAATGAGACTCAGCATGTCGAGTGCAAAACTCGCGGATCTCAGCGGAGTTGAACTGCGAACCATTGTCTGAGACGATGGACTCCGGTAAGCCATACTGGCTGAAAATGCTGGATAGCACACGCAGCGTACTAGATGTCGTTAGAGGGGATACCGGAATGATTTCTGGCCACTTGGAAAAAACGTCAATCAAAACCAAATAGGATGTGTCGCGTATCGGTGCTGCGTAATCAATGTGGACCCGAGGCTAAGGCTTATCAGGTCGGGGACAGCGAACCGGTGAGTGATGTGGTGGGTTCTTGGCAGGTTGTTGGCATCGGAGCAGCGTTTTACAAAATGAGTGATGTGCTGGCCCATGTGCGAACAGTATGCGTAACTGCGAGCTACTGACTAAATACGGTTTATTCTTGGATGCCCACAATGGAATTGACGGAGGACTCAATGGAGTAAAGATTGAGGAATCACGACGCGATTTCCAAACACAGCAATTGTTGTCTCAGGTACTCCGATTAACGGTTGCTGACACTTCTCAAGACAGGACACAAACCTTGTGAATAGGCCAAAGGTGACTGCCGGAAATTACAGCTTTTCTGACACCGGTGCAGCGGACTAACTTGATGGTTTCTGTGTTTCGACCTCTTCATTCATGTTCGATTGTTCTAACCAGCTTGTTTTCTGGCGAGCACCACCTTTCAACCTATCCAGATAACAAGCCCATTGAATGAATGACTCACAGCTGGTTTACACTACCGACAACTGTTTTTATTCCAAACAGAAGGCAGGTATTTTTCATAACTTGCCATCCTCCGCCTACGTCAAATTTAGAATGCTGGTGACCTTTCTTATCAATGTGATCGCAGTTTCTTGCCTCAAGCAATTTTCGTGCATCAATCAACCCAGTGAAAAAGCCTTCAAAACCCAGTCGGACAGTGCTTAGCTTGTGTCTCTCGTATTAAATGGGAGTGACTTTGTTCACAAAGGCCAGGTTAATGCATATCTCATGTACAAAATCACACCCTAGTTCCTACGAGGAAACACATGTATGCACACATACAACGGTATGAAATAAGACTGATGGCTTTGAGGTACGATTAGCATTCGCTCGTCTCCAGAACAATGAGCCACCGCGTTTGGAACACGAAATCGTGCACCATTAAGTACATGACTGGAAGATATTGTGTAAACGTACTTAGCGGAGCACTAGCCCTTTGAAAGTGGTTGATTAGCCATGTGAGGCTGTTTAATGTCCCTTGTACGGTTAGGCGGAATATCCTCATTCTTATCAGGAATTTCAACGACAAGCTCATAAATTATTCGAAAGTGACCTTGGATGAAGATTTTTTTCCTTTTTAACCCCAGTATGTTCTAACGACAGGCTGTGAAGATGGAGCAGTATGTGGACACTAAAGTCGCCCTGACGGATCTACTTTGTTCAAGATCGGTGTCGTCATATGTACCGGATACATTTGCCTTTGGTTATGTGCACGTTCATTTTGGGGGGAAGAACCAGCGCGTTGATTTTTGCCTTTGATGTCCACTTTAGCCTGATAGCTGAAAGCAGAGACGCCTGCGTACCACATTGTATGAAATAAAAGTTGCAATGCTCACGGAAACAGAGTTCCAACAACAACAGGTAGGCACTCTGTTGAAGGGCGCGGGGAATACTCTGAAAGCTTTCCTTCAATGCCCATTGAGGCTATCATGACTTCATAAGGAATATATAACATTGACTTGTCACCGTGTATGGTGCAAATGTAACTTAACCTGGATATCATTTGCTCACAATGCGTTAATAAAAGCTAGCATCTCTGCTTTTTACTTGGAGATGGGTTAACTAGTTTCGTTTAAATGGGAAGACACTATCTGAAAGATATATAGGAGATGCGAACCAAGTCTTCTAGCATGTGACTTGATTACCTGAGCATCGAATTTTGAGTTGTTGGTCTACAAGTAAATACAATACATTAAATGGAAACCTTGTCGTAACTGAGGCACTATTTTACATAAGGATGTTTAAATATATCCATTTCTACCTTTTGAGGTGCGTTTTTCAGGCACGCGCATAATCATCATCGACAGCATGACATCAGTGTTCAACACTAATGCTTCACGGCTTCACGATGCTCCCGGCACGCGCGATAGACAGAAATCCGAGGATTGTTGATTTTGAACTCAGCAGTGCCTAGATCAATGTCCACTGAAGTCACAGTGACTGTATCAGTGGAAGCACATTCACAATTTTACTGAAAAACAATTTCGTGTGTCCGATGATGGCTGTGTTATTTTCTGAATGAGTATTTCTGGCTTCCGAAAAATTCACCAATGTCCTCAGAGGATTTGTCCCTACTTTGTGAGTTGTGTGGAACGCTCCTTTTCGAGAACATCCAACCCGTGTTCACATCTTGCCACTCGAAGAAAGCTTCAGGCGCAGATGCAGTAACTACCAAATACCTGAAACGCATTTTAACCGTGGGTTTAATGCTCTCTTCAATTTGTAGTGCGCAGAACAATTACAGAACGCAATAACACAGGTGGTGGAACATCTTCAAGATGGATTACTGGGATAAATCGTAAAGTGAGTTTTTATCATCTCGCCCGTAGTTTCAGGGGTATTTCACTCCAGTCAGATTCATAATACCCTGTAGGAATTATAGTGATTGTGGCTGCCGTAAGAGACAACCCCAGCGATAAACATGAAAGCATTTTTAACAACTGGCATGTTTTTTCCATGACAAAACTCCTGATTACAACTCTGACGAGAGAAGCCTTAAAGGCTGCAGATCGGTTTAAAACGTAGGAAGTGACCAGTTGGATCAAACTGACATGAAAAGTCTCTGCCGATTATAAATGTGAAATGGGCATATTTGTGTCAGCTGGTGGCACCACTTCAGGACCTTCATAGCCCACATTAAGAGACTTGTGGTGTACTCAAGCAGGCTGTTTATACGATATGCACTGTCAGGCATTTTGCGCTATGTCTAAAGAGTTAGGGATGTGTGGTTAGTTTGGTTTTAGGTTTGTCTAGACAACTGATTCGAGTACCTTACTCTCTCCTACCTCGTGACCAGCTGAGGCACCGCTTACGCATACTACTAGTCGATTACCCTGTTTCGTACATATGCTCATGTTCCCTTGTCAAATATTTGAGTTGCAAGCCTTTTGGCCATTTAAGCGTGTTCATCTCGTCAGCCCGAGAACCACTTTTGTGGTACTCATAATCCTTCTAATATGAGGAGCATATCGAACCGTCGAACCTTTACCAATAAAATTAGGCCTGCCTACTTTCAGTCCATTAGAAGACTCTTGTTCAGGAAACTGAATCCTCCCAGTAAAATCACGTATCATGTTAGCTCGTATAAAGACTTCGGTCATTTTGGTATAATGCCTTCTAAAAGTTCAACAAATTCAACACAAAAAATGGCAAACCGTTTCAGTTTTGTGCACTCCAGACACTGCCAATGAAGAAAGTTGAACGTTATTCTCCAGCTCTTCGTCCCACTCGTTGGAATTTATAGAAATAGGAGAATTTCCAACACGTTACTGTTTTGAGCTGTTTTCTGATTATTCTGTCGATGTTGATGACTACGGGTTGAATTTGCCGGCTTCGAATACTGAATTATTACCGAGCTTTCTGTTTTCTAGAATCGGCAACCAAGCAAATATTCACTCAACCTGCAAATCTAACTAAACCGTATACAGTAAGTCGATATACAATGGTCCTGTTGAGGCCGTATAACGTACAATTCTGATCAAATAGGTGTCTTTACAGTACGAAACCAGCCTGTCATCTTTTAAGTGTTATGAAGCATACCATGCACTCGTGTCATGAAACGATTTGTGTAAGGTGATGGTCTGTTCGGACAATATAAAGTTTCGGATCGGCTGCACCCCTCTTAGATCCCGTTAGTCGAAGCGGACTGCTTTTTGTACTTCACGGACTTTGGGGTGCGTAGTGTGTTAGACAAAATAAGCAACCTTGCACTGGATATTCACTGAACGATTTCTTATGTGAACAAAATTGGAGTGTACAGGTATCATAGAAGTGAGAATTAAGGATAACTTGAAGCTATGATCGGTGTTTCGATAGGGAACGGGAAGATCGTCTTGGGGTTGACTGTAAGTTAACCTGACAAACCTTATAACGATCTGCTGTACGTAATGATAAATGTGCTAATCACCATGAGCGAACTACACTTATTTGCATACCAATTTGGTTTTGACGGGAGACTCATCTGGAACACAGCTGAACCTCCCGCTTATGGTGTATTTAAGCGGGGACTGTGCCTACTTCATGAGCCCGAAGAAGGGCGAAACCGGTAGTGGGCTGTCGAAGAGCTTTCAGAAACCTGATGGGTAGTGTATCACGTCTATAATAACCACCATGTTTGGGACGGATCTAATTGGTGAAGGCCCGCATCCTAACCAACTGAAAAGAAGTCAGTATCGTGACCGAACAACTGGAAGGTGGCTCAGATGTGTCAGCCGGATACGTTCAATGTCCGCGCACACCATATTCGATGAGTGTACAGGCTCCAGGGATGCGTTACTTGGTGCGTGTGGCCTGACTGATCAGATTCGTTTGATTGGTTAGTAGTGTCGGTTTGTTGCTTTGTCAGCTGTTTCAATCCAACACATTGTCATCCGATCGTTTCAAGTGGAAACTCACTCAGCGCACAACTGGAACACGTTGTTGCGTGTTTTCTCCGAATAAGTGGGTCGGTCCAAACTGGTACCAGTACCACACGACTACTTCCTGAAGACTACCAGTCACAATGCACAATAAACACTGATCTCGTTTTAGAAATTCTTGCAAAACTATCGGCAGACTCAATGCTCAGCTACATTTCCCTTTTTGACATAAAATATTCATCAGGCCAGGTTGCTTGTCTTCTGAGGCGGAAGAATAACTAGTCAGCAAAATGCCTAGCAGGATAAGTTAGTGTAAGCTGTTGGACAAAATATGTTTTTTTTTGGTTGTGTGGGTGCGCGAATTTTAGGGTCTATGGGCTGGGGGGAAACTCATACGAATTGGAGGCAGGTCTAGGTTTCTTTTGGCTCACTTCGTTTAAGGGTTTCCGCTGAGTTTCGTTCACAGTATTTCTGAGTCTGTGTGAATGAGCTAGTACTATGATTATTAGGTTAGGGAGGAACTACATGAATTTCTGGATCGGGTTTAGCTTATTACATGAGAACCAGACTACTGCTAATGAATTCTATTGATTCACATTTGTAACTAACCCCACATGTCAGCTTGGGCTCTCTAAAACTGTCCTCCATACGCTTTCCTACTATATGAATTTTTCGATCGGGTTTGGCTTACTACATGAGAACTAAACTACTGCTAATGAATTCTATTGACTTACCTTTGTACTTCACCCCACATGTCAGCTTGGACTCTCTAAAACTGTCCTCCATACGCTTTCCAGCTCTCACATCCTACTCTGTTCACACTGAGATGCCTATTCACCTCCTTGGCCACCAGCCTCTGAGATGTTATCTATTCTATTCTCTGTGTCCGTTTCATGTCCGGTAACCGTTGAGTCTTTGATCAGCGCCTGGTATTCGTCCGCATGCCTTGGTGATGGGCAGTCATAAACAGCACACCAGTAAATCGACAAAGTTTCTGCAAACTTTTCTGAAAAGACAACTTATTGACTGGTTCCAAGCGTTAGCTTGCCAACTAACCAATGCTATGTGCCTATATTCATTCCAGTGGGTAACTCAAAATTGTCCGATAAACTAGTTGCAAAACTGCATGTAAATGAAGCCTTTATCAGCTGCACTGCATACGAAGAATTTTATGAAAAATTGCTTGCCCGGAATCGGTCGTCATTTAATGGATGGTTTCTTTTACGAAAGCTGTCATGATACTACTATATGATTGAAACTTCTAACTCCGTCTGCTTTCTCCTTTCATATGGACAACCACAAACCATTCAGTAACTCTGGAAGATAAACGTGCATTCATTTATTTTGTTCTGTTTATTAGTATCACCACTTATCCATCCTCCACAAAAATTTTTTATTCCTAATTAAACACAGCCACCATTTCCATCAATGAGCCTTTTGATTTGAGTATTGTTCTTAGTCAGTTTGACTTCACCATTGCAAAATGAACTGGTTCCTAAAGGCTATAGTTGGAAAATCTGCATCGTTTGAAAAGAACTGGTTTACACCAGTTATACTGAAAAAAATAGATTATAACAAAACATACCAAGGTAGGTCATTTGGACCTCTTTTCACTTGGCAGAGTGAATTAGCAGGGAAGCCTAATTAAAACTTTCAAGATTACTAGCCTTGCCAATGTGTCTGTCTTTTCCAGGTGACTGACCTTGAAGAACAGTAGTGAACATTAATTTAAGCAAGGGCGATAGGTGAATACTGAGCGATCTTCTTTTCTCTTCAGTCCTCTGTTCACGTCAGAGTAGGTAGGTGATAACCTGGAGCTTGAGTTGTCTACGATACAGCTCGTGTACTCTTTGAATTTGGGTCTCAAGTGTCGCAACCCGAACTTATGCAGAAAGCGGATGGGTCCAGCTTAACTGTCCTCTGGCCACTTGTCAATCCCACTTTTACGCGAAACCCAATACAGGAAGAGTAAACTGACAGCCTCCTGTCAGTTAGTCACTTGGTCATTTGGCCATATACAATAGCTACCAGTGCTACAGTTTTCTTAACTGAAGTTAGGGAGATTCAGACATGTGTCCCGCCGACGGACGCAAATAGACCAGATATGCGAGTGGTTATTTTGCTAGACTAACTCAGTCCACAAGTCCGTATTGGCGAAGATCCTCACCTCTATCAACTAAAACAGAGATTTCGAAAGATGATATGATTCCCCTGTTCATGTCCGCGTTTTACGTTCATGAACTACCTGCTGTTCCTGATTCCTTCTTCTCATGTAATAGTGCTCCGGATGCTGTGAGTGTTCAGAATCAGATTAGCACCTCGCTTTCTTACGTTTCCTCCCTTAGGATCATCGTCAACGAGATTTTACTGACAGCTTACATTTGTTTATTGCTGATAACACTTGTCGTCCAGGCCGTAGTGATGTGCAGCACCATGGCCTATCCCTAGCTGACAGCTTCATTTTATTGCCTCATTATCAGAATGTTTTTACCAGGGTGTATGAAATCCGGCTTACGATTCCGCGGGAGCTTCGGAGCATTCACGGTGTCTTGAGCATAATTACACGAGAATCAGAAACAGGTAGTTCCTGCACCAGACTTACAATACAGCGTAGATATGTGCGAAGGCCAATAATAATGCCGACTTCAGTTCTATCTACAACTCATTGCACTTGTCAGTTCACCTGCAGTTGTGGTGACAATTAAATCGGTATAACTGATGGGAAGCTTGAAACACGAGCAAACGTGCATGTGCCCAAAAACCTCCATATCTCGTCAGCTGAACCTAATCCAACGCTAATAGAATCCCGAGGCAAATCGTCGATCGCTAGGCGTCTAACTGATACAGAACAGAGAGTTGGGCTTCAATAATCGTTCCGGACCTTAGAATGAACACAGGTTGCAATGGAAGTTGAGGTTTCTTTGAGCCACATTGATTAATCGTCTTAAGCCTGTCCTGTGCACTCAGGATGACCTAAAGGACACTCTGAGACTTCCTTGGTTTTACTAGTCGGTCACGTTGTTTTAGAACCATGAATGTTGCAAACTGCACCGTATTATGTATGTTATGCCGTTTCACACGTCTTGCGGCGGAAGGGAGTGTGCGAAATAAATTCACCCTGTACCTTTGTTCTCATTGTTGTTTGTATCAAATTGACGGGGGGTGACAGTGCTTTTGAATCCCATTTTATGTTTCCTTGTCGACCCACCTAACTTCACTTTTCCACTTGAGCTCATATGACCGTCAAAAATGGACGAACAGACTATGCTTATGTAGCACTCAACAAACAGATGACAGTGGAAACGGAAGGCAACTTTCGAGACCACAAATATTCAACTGGAGCATTCAAGGCATATCGACTCGGCTCAGTGGCGGGGCCAGTTAGGGTTTCTGTTTACCTGAGATCGTATGTGAGTTCTTATTTTTGCAAGAAGAGAAAGGTATGACCTCCGTGCTAGATGAAGCGGCTGAAACATTCCGTCCTAACATGTGGCGGTTTGATTTTGGGCTATAATATGGTGATAAACTACAAGAAAGGAAAGGACACAGTAACCTGAGTTAAAACGATCGACCGAAACCTACATTACCCATCAGAGATTCACATAGACCTCCCAACTCTTATTGTGCATATTAGGGTGTGTTGCATGTTCGAGCCATATTTGGAACAGCTTTTGGCTGTGATCTGGCTTGGTCTCTTAACTATGGACCTAATTCAACAATATGAACATTTAAGTCACTGTCGCATCAATTAATCTTCCTTACCCAGATTGTTGTGTTCTGTGACATGTACGCACAAGTGTTGGTACTGTTGCTTTCAAAGTTGCATGGATCGTTAGCCAAGTTAATTTTTCTGCCATTCAAGTGCCCATACACGTTGGTAGTGGTTGACAATATAAGCTTCTTTACCTGAAGACCAACTGCAAAGAAACATGCTTCTACGAAACATGATCATACCATTAGATCACACTGCACGGTTAACTGCGCTTATCCATCGTGAGAAACACAGCTGGGTGGAATGATGGGCAACCTCGCTTTACAGGGGTTGTGGAAAGATCGATTACAGTGCATGAAAGCGTCATTTGCTGTGTCCCAGTGACCGCAATTCAGATTAAATTTTGTATGGCGTGACAACTTTACAACTACCGTTCGCTGCAGAGGTTAGGTACATTATTTGACCAGACACTGTTCCGAACTCCCATCAAACCTCAAGTGTATATCAGCGTCAAATTACTGATCCTTATTATTTTTTGCAAATATTGTACACCGGTCTTGTTTTAGAGCGTACAGACGACTGTAATTACACGACGAGGTAGGCCCTTTTTAATGAGACCATGTATGGCAAACAGCCCGAGGGGTAATTGAATCGCGGCACAAAAATTCAGTCCAATTCCATGTGCATACCATGAACGCACTGGCCTGGTGCATTATTTCTAGCGAATGGTGCTTTAGCCCATAGGAGTGACATAGATCAGACCCAAACAAACCATTCAGAAAATGGAGCCAACAGTCAAATGTTATATGGGTAACGGCTGCGTGACAGCAACGAACATCAGGAGTGACAAACAAGAACATTTTTAGTCAACCAGAGTTGAGAGGCGCAAAGGACCATCTGGTGCAGTTGAGGGGCACATAGCAAAGCCCGTCTTCCATATGTTCCTGACCGGGATCAGATCACCACTACTCAGGTCATATTTGCTGTATATTCCTCCTTCGGTAAGAAACAGATCCAATGGACGAAACGGTCCGCTAGTCCACCCATCATGATTGCGTGCGGCGTCATCCTCCGATAGGCCTTTGGAGCGGGCCAAATTGTGTGCGATGGTATTTTGGAAGTACTTCATGGTGAGGGAAATATCCTGGAAGATTTTGCCGCTGTGAAGGCAAAAGAAAACCACAATTTACCAGGTTCCAAATAGGTCAGATGAATAAATCGCTGAAATCCGGAAAGTTCTGCATTATAAAACCCTTTGACGTCATTGAATTATATTTTCCTTTAATTTCACACGATTGCTCTATCATCACAAAAGAAGTCTGCTCCACCACCTCAGGCAAGGTGCACTGGAGATCATCACATCGGCACATCGGTTGGAATTTAGTGGCCAGTTTACTTAGGAATAATGACACGCAGTTCCTTGATTGCTTTATCATTACAAAAGAAGTCTGCTCCACCACGTCAGGCAACGTTCACTGGAGGTCATCACATCAGCACATCGGTTGGAATTTAGTGGCCACTTTACTTAGGAATAATGACACGCAGTTCCTCGAATGCTTCAGATAATAGCGTCGGGTTTGCCACATCCGGTCTGCCGAAGCTTCTTGATTCTTATAGTTCCTAGAACTCAGACGTTCAAGTTAGACAGCACCAAAAAGTTTCTTCACAGTCAAGTAAGGAACGATACCCTACTGGCTTTCACTGCTGTACCTGTGCAATTGTAGTTACGCATTTTTCCTGTTTATCGAACCCTGGTCAGCTTTTTTAACGCTAAAGTTACACCGAATGTACAGTACTTCTTGCTCCGGGGAATACCTTCAAGCGAAAGCAGAATAATGCACCGATGACGTCTGTTCCACTTGGGAGGGGTGCTACTAGCTCGAATGCTTGGCGTATCAGCTCAGTTGGATCTTAGCTGTAACTGAAGAGAATACCGACAGCTCATGTTGGGTGATGGCCACTGATTTTAGTTGCATCCACGTGTCTTAGTGGGTTTATGTGAACGAGCAGTCCAACGTTTTACTGTGTATAGGGTAAAAGAACTTGTTACTCAATAGTGTTACATTTCTTCGTCTGAAATATTTCAAAGGCCATCAGTCTTACATTTGGGGTAATAGAGAACGGGTAGTTTTAGTCATACCAGGTGAACCTCAAATGCAACCACACATGAGATAAGCTGTCGTGTCTTAAAATTTTAGTAGAAAAAGAACAAAAGGAATTAGTGGGAGCTTGATAATCGACTAGTTTTTGGCTCCATCACCTTCAGTCGCTATTTCAGCTGTGACGTATTCCAGTAAACGCTGTTGTGAAAGTATCCTGAACCAAAATACCGTTACTTAGTAAATACAGACTATTGGGTCAAAATGCTAGATTGAGTAGGCTAGCATTATGTACAGAATTTCAGTTAGTCCATCAGAAATAGGTCATCAATGAATGCTGCTGTGGTTACGCAGAAACAGTTTGCTCAGTTAGCCCGACCGAACTAGTTACAGGTTGATTAGTCATGAACGAATGGCTCATTAACCGCATGAGTGACTTCCATTCCTTTGTCTGTCTGAATTCCGGCTCGGCGTTTCTGCAATCAAACTTAATCAAGTTTGTGTTTACTCGGTGGTATGAAATAGTGAAAGATCGATAGGATATGGAGAAAACCTATAAGTTTGCTTAGCTATGCGAACACTGCACATTTTAGGCTGATAGCACATATTCGGAAATCCACCCTCGATCAGTATCTTTTGGCCCTAGGGGATGATCTTATCCCACCGCTTCACCTCTCAAGTTCCTCAGTAAGATATATGGTTGTCTACATGAACCGAAGCCCGTCAGGTACTGGAAACACTAGTTACACCTGTTCGGTCGTATGCCTTCGATTGCTATAGTTGCTGAGCCGTATAGCCCCACACAAAACTGCCTATTCCCATCATCCGACAAGCCTGAATCCGTCTGGTAGTTTTGCCTCCTGTCTCCTGTTACTACACCGAATGTAGAAACCAAATGAGCAAGCCCTTTGTATCACGCCCTGGCCTCACCTACCACACACTCGGTGCTCAGAACCACAGCCACAGCCACAGAGTCGTGAAGCCGATCACCACCCTATTGCAGCGCAGACTGGTGACACGCAACCCAGAGCTAGCAAGGTAAACAATCGAGCGCGTACACTGGCACCGAGGGCGACTGACGCATCCCTCTCAGGCTTCCGACCGCAGACACGGCACCCATGCGGATAGCTGTGTAAACGTAGGTGGGACCGATAGTCAGTTAACGGTCCATTTTTCCTGTCTCCGCGGCCTCGTTCCGACTACAATTCACATGCTCCAAGCCAAACGCACCGCACTTTGTACGAACCACAATACTTTTATCACCATACCCCTACAATATGGTGATAAGACGTCCTTGTTTGGCATTGATGCAAATCAGCTGTTATGTAAGTTTATCAAGCGGCGGCCTGGTGCAGTACATTCAGTTGCTCAAAAACACCATAGACGAGAGATTCAGCTGGGCTTCAGGTGAATCTCGCGTCAAAACCATATGATCATGCAAATGGGTGCATTTCGCTAATATCGGGTAATTTGGTTTCCAGTAGAACATTTGGTTAACGGAAACTCTGGGATTATGCCTACGTGATGAGCCCCTAGAGGGGCGAAACCGGTAGTGGACTGTCGAAGTGTTTTCAACAACCTTATGAGTAGTGTATTACGTCTATCAAATCCTAATTCTAATTTGCTCAGCCTTAGCCATATTTATTGCTTTATTCTCACAAAAATACAAAACTCCGTAGTGCAATAAGCTGAAGAGAAATTGGGCTTAGCTTAAATTTAGAATCCCATTTGCTAAAATATGTCCTTTCTGAGTACAGCCAAGAATGATGAGCCCCTAGAGGGGCGAAACCGGTGGTGGACTGTCGAAGTGTTTTCAAGTGTTTTGCTAAAAATATGTCCTTTCTGAGTACAGCCAAGAACTTCCACTGAGCTTCTGACTCATTTGACGGCACTTATTTTTTTTTAAGAAGCACCGTTCTGGAGTACCAAAATTGTTTAGAGGTATTGTCTGATTAAGGCGTCTGCCGAAGACAAAATCGTAGTGTAACAGAACTAGGAAAATCTTGTTCCGTGTCTATCATAAAGCTATAAATGGACTTTACTGAAATGGGACCATCAAGTCGATAAGTCATCATAATTCCAGAAGAATTATGGAGGTATGCCCATGTTAAGAAAGCCGCCGTTTGAGATCTGCTGAAGACTCGAGATGTGACGTTTCCTTGAACGAACTGACAAAAACACTACTTATAAGATCAATATTTCTTTTTTGAGTCTCATCGAGTTAGAGGGGAGCTGGGCGAAAGGAAGCTGGATCATTATATTTATATAAAAAAAGTGGTTTTACCGCAATAGGTGACCCACCTTTTATCCGTTCTTGAGGCGTTGTAAAACACTGCACCTAAATGTCGTGTACTAGAAGGCGGGACGTAGGTAAATTGAATTTTCAAACTTTTTAGTCTGATGACCTCCTGAGCATTTCCATTCGGGGTGAATATATCACTGCAGGCTTTTTCTTTGAACTTGTCTATGTCAACTACATTCCAGCAAGTCATTGAGGTTTCCGTCGTTGAGTTTGGATACTTGATTAGCTGCGAAAACACAGCGTACATTTGACTTTTGGACTTGAGGTAATTCAGTGCAATATGTTCCACAATACCTCTGTTCTGAAGGCCTATCAGCTTTTCTAAGCTAACTAGGTGAAGCCATTTGTTTGTGGGAAACTCAGTTTCCCTGAGGAATATTTCCACGTCATGGAAATATCTTTCTGCCATGGTGTCCTCCAATGTACCATTCGAATTCGGAGTTACACGGCGCCATTCAAGATGGCCCCTGTACGTTTGTACAAAGGTGAACTTGAAGATCAAGATGTTTGTAACCAACATGATGAAGAATCCTAGGATGATGAAAACACGAATCAGCAACCAAAATCGGCGTAGCTTTAATGTATTCAGGACATCAAAACATTGTGGCTTTGGTGTGTTCTCCAGTTGTCTTGCCAATATGTCTTGTTTGGTCCCGTTCTCGGATTCGTTTTCGGATTCAGAGTTTATAAATCTTTCAACATCTACGTAGCCATCGTCTGTGGATTCTAATAGGTAAACGGTGGTGAATGTGAGGAAACGGACAAGAATATAGCACACCAACGTCGAAGCCTTCACCAAAATACTGACCGAAACAGTCGATTCGTGACATGCACTCAGGTAAGCATTCATAATTCCAATGGGAATTTCCGACAGGAATATATTGAGCACATTTGCAATATCCACAAAAAACCACGCATCCGGTTCGTTCCAGAGGGTATTGACCCACACTGCAACGTCTATTCCGAAGAATATCATTTCCGCGGTATTTAGTATGAATAGAATAACTAAGATGAAAAGGGGCGTTCGGTCATAAACTAGGCCAGGTTGCTGAAGGACAGCGTCGCGAAAAATCATCCAGCTGAGGAACATACTCACAAACGAGCAGGAAAGAATACAAATCATGTAGACCAGCCGAAACCATGCTTGCCGATAGAGTCTGCGAACAAACGTTATGGCCCATCCTCGAATATCACAGGGTGGTTGATTTGCTGGAATAGTTTCGTTTAAGTTGATGGCATCAGATTGGTAGAATTGGTCTTGCTTCCCATATGAATGCATTTGTGCTTCGGACCAAGCTCTTCGCTTCATGTTTTGCTCGGCTATAAGTCCTAATATCCTAAAACAGTCACAACAAATGCTGGTAACGATCGATCCACAGAGGGACAAAGTTGCGGGCTGAACGGAGCTCACCAGTATGTCTAGTTCTTGTGACGAACAATGATCACTATCGATCGTCGTAGTTTCGGGTAGCTATTGATCAGTTAGTGGATCTAGTTTTCATCCTAACACTAGTGTGTGAGAACTAATCCGTCAGTCACTTTCGCTTTCTGGGTTTTCGGCTGTCCGGGAAAGGAAGTTTGTAAGACAGTGCTATTCACACAACAAATAGCGGATAGTTGAGGATAACCGCCAGTGGGAAATGTGTTCGAAACTACCTGAGGCAAATACCTTCCAACTCTATTGTTTTTGGTCCAGCTCAGAGTCCTCATGGTGGTGTGACTAAACAACTTGTGAAGATACCTCACCAGTTCTGAAAAACTGAGCCGCAATAAATGGCTGAGGAGTAGTCCGCTTGCTAAAACGCTTTGATGGGGTTAATAGCACATACTCCTCTTTGTATTAAGGGGAAAACGACAGCTTTTGCACTGATTTCGGGGATTTATACTTTGGAATCCACAGACAATTTCACGGACTGAAAGAAGTGAGAAGAGTTGTAGTCCGTTTCTGGAAAACTAGGCCGTATTGTTTTACAGGAATCAATAAAATACCCGTGACTGACAGTTTACTCTCTCAGATGTAGGCCACCTGGTAAGCTAGAGACTACTGACTAATTACTAAGTTCTCACGTGACTCCTGCTGATGGGATCATGTCTATCCGCATGATAACTGGGCTGAAGAATGCGGTAGTAAAGCAAATCCCGCAAAAGCCCACAATCTACTGGTACTCGAAAACCTCTTCGGCTGATAAACGTGACTAAGTTTAACTCGACCCGACTGCGGTGATACTTGCTGAGGGTGAAGATGAGCTAGAATAAACTAATTCGCTTCGCAATTGTTCTCTGCAACGTTTCACTTGACCATCAACGACAATTAGGGTGCGGAAAACTGGTGCTTTTGAAAACTAGCGGACGAAAAGAACAATTGGGGTGTCTGCTGTTTACTGCCCGAACCGCTGACAGACCGGACGGGAGCTGCTTGCATGAGCAAGTAACAAAACCTCACAAAGTATGTGTCGCGCAAGCGAGGCGGTGCGGCCACTAACAGGTCACCTGCTTGTGCCGGCCTGTCGACAAGCCCCACATCTGGAATCCCCTGAGGGAAGGAAGATCTGTAGACTTTCGGCTGACGAAAGTAGTCTTGGCCACAAAATTTAATGCTAACCTTTGTAACAGCTGCCTTTACTTGTGCTGGCCTGTCGACAAGCCCCCTGAGGGAAGGGAGATCTGCAGACTTCCGGCTGATGAAAGTAGTCTTGGCCACAAAATCTAATGCTAACCTTTGTAACAGCTGCCTTTATTTGCGTCTTCCCACTGCATTGGAGATTTAAAAAAAGTGCCAATCTCCGGTTTGTTGCAGACGCAAACGTTTGTACCACTCTCCGCCCAGTGTATCTAATGCACTGGAGGGTGGAGAATGCATCTGCCTCAAAAACACTCCAGCTTTCAGGGTGATGTCACGAAATGGCTACTACACCAGACGGTATTTGTCGTATACAGTGTGCGGGACAGCGGGGTTCAGAGGTAACTCAGACCCGAAGTGTAGAAGAAACCAATCACTGGAAGACCGTTTCACCGATTCATCTGATGTTGATTCACTTGATGCTCTTTACCAATTTGGTGGCGTGTTTTGTTGTTCGCAATCTATAGTCGTATTTGTCACTCGTCGCTGATCCGATGTACTACACCAGGCAGTGCTTGTTGGCACCACACTGACGATGTTACCTCAATCGTTGATGGAACTTTCACAGCCCAGCTGCCAAGCTTGGCGGAAAGACCAACAACCAAGTATGCAAATGGAACTTTGATCTTATTTGCAGTTCCACCGCACTTTGCTGAGGGTTACGCGCCTTGCACACGTTTCTCGTATAAACGAGTACAGTCCACTCTTATGATGACTTTATTTCCAGTTTTTCCAGTTGACAATAACGTTTATCGAAGGAGGGATATTCGGTGAATCGGTAAGTGGAACTGAACTACTGAAAAAGATGCTTCCGTTTTTTGTCAGTGATTTACACCAATGCGGCTTTCAAAGCTGAACTAAAGAAACATTTATTCCTTGTTTTTAAAGAAGCCACTCTTAGCAATTCCCTTATGAGCCGAAGATGCTTTTACCTGCTTTGATCGTGAGCGCTCACTCGGCCGGGGTCGAACGTGAGGGAGAAATCGCACTCGGATTTGTTGCGTAAGGTACGGATTTTCTACAGGGATACTGATCATTGACCTTGACATATGTTAATTTGAACAGGAATGTTGCAATGTCGTCCTCATCACGTCGAACGTACTGGGACGGCTCCCATAACGTACGGCGCGATTGGCAATCTGTTGGAACATTGGTAACTTGGGTGCATTTATTGGTAGTTGATCAGGTGGCTGTTGACCTTTGGCAACTAACTTACAAACGTTTCGTTACCAGTCGAGAAGACAATATTAGAGCGCATCGATGCTACCTCATCGAAAGGTAATGAAACGTTTGCAAGGCAGTTGCCAACCACAGCGAAGGGGCTAACGGTCGTCTTATCGACTACCAGTGTTGTTTTTTACTACTTCGTCCAAAAAAGGTTAAACTGTTTACCAGAGTGCGAGCTTACAATGAACATTTAGAGTAGAAACAGGTGCAAGTGGACCACATGAAACTTTCACCAATTTCAAAAGCCATGTGAATCTAAGAAACATTGTTCAGGCTCGAATCGAAGCAAGACAATATAGCATATATTTTCTAGTGTAATTCTTCATTGGTCCAAGTTAAGAAGACATTATCAGCCAAACATGTGCTTGCACTGACACTAGTAGACCATTAGCCTCCACAGCATAAATAGATAAATAAAGAATTCCGTAGTTTACTGTGATATCTTCCAAAACAAATTAGCTATCGTGCGTACTGAACGAAATCCTATATGAGATGGATAAATAATCAAGAAAGGTTGGGAAATCTGCCTATTTCTTCCAAAACTTTCCCTGTCAGACCCTGCCATTCCGAATGAATGCGAGTTTTGATATTGTATTGGATGAAGCCATAAGCCCATGAACATGAGTTAAGCTCTGTTCACTATAGATTACTTAAACGGGATTGACATCCTGCAAGCAGAAGACTCATGGCTATGCCAGTCGGTTGTTACGACTGGTAAAAAAACGGAAATTCGGCTTAAATATAAGGGGAATCCCTGGCCACGTAGCAATCACTATAGATGTGTTCACAGTGCGCGACTTCCTGTTGTCGGGTCCCACATTCCGAATGTGTCGAATTTGTTTTCTGGCCCTGCTCATCGGACCATCATTAGATTGAGATATATACGACTGTTCTCGACACCCGCTATTCGTTGGACGGCAGTACAAGACCGTGTCATGAATAATATTGAAGGCAAGATATGCGGAAGACTCATTGTTCTATTTCCTCGTTCTCGTGTGTATAGTGCTGACTGCGTTACCCTCATCAAGATATGTAAAGTTATTGGCATGTGTTTGCCTACTTGGCGGAGGCGCGTGACTACATCCCTGCCACAACTTCCAGTCGTTCTGCAGGTCTCTTGGGTTTCAAAATTATCAGTTCTACCTAAACTAAGCGCCTTCTATCGCTCAGCTGAACCACCTTGTTTCATTTGCTACAAGGGACGATAGCGAAATGAGTCAGTTTACGTTAGCTCATCATCACCGACCAAGCTAGCTCCAGTTAAGCTTAGTTACACGTATCGACCGGGGTAAGGCTCGACTGCCAACCGGGGTGAAGCCTGGTCAGCTTTGCGCGCCTCCATTCTGGAACACAGACCACGCGAGCAAGTCCAGGTAGCGACTAACCACCAACTCTCCCGCCTCAACCACTTTGCGTCGACGGGATAGCTTGCGGATGCTGTAGGCCAAGCGTTAGGAACAAACCCAAGTGAAGCAGCTCACCGATTAACTCGGTTCCAATGAAAACCCCATTTGAACTTAAACTACTCACCGAGTGATTCAAATTTTTCTGTGTCAAAGAGGGCATGAGTGCACAGGTACCTCAGTAAATACATGGGGCTGTTTCAGCCGACACGATAGGGTATCGGTATATGATTCCAAAACTGCCCTTGAAAACGGTATCCAGTTCTCGTTGATTTTTTCAGGTACTTTATGGCGCACTGCTATGAATTTCGGGTCTTGTTCACTACACTACTATTGACTAGATTTCGTTCCAAACATCTGCTCTAGAAATGACTGATTTGGTTATTGAATCCAGCTCGACCTCTTGATTGCTTACTCTGCCTATGTACCTTTGGTCTCCACTTGCTTTGCTTATCCGTACCCGCTACTCACCTTGCTGCAAAGGCCGTCCAGTTCGACACTTGTGTATTAGCATGTGTATCTGTGTGTGAATTGCGCAGTTGACCTACTTACCCATATGCGTTCGTGGCCGGACCAAGAGACTGTCGTCGGAATGGATGACCGCACACCACTGAGCCGACATTCCGCTCACCGTGGTCTGGTTTGCGGACGTTGACACTACGCTGTGCCGAGCAGTGGCAGACTTGTACACTTGTTGACGCCACCAACGTAAATAATTGAATTTTGCTGCATAAAATTGCTTGCCCTTGTGTAAATAGTACCGTAGACTTTCGAACCCAATTCTTCCTTTTGATATTCGGGACTGTCGAACCTACGTGTCGCTCAAAGTTCCGTATCGGGAACCTTAACGGTAGTGTACAGTTTCAGTAGTTCTGATTTGTCTGTGCACAATACTGTGTATCCGTCATCAGATCGATTAATAATTCAGGCAACACAGAAGAATTGTAGAAAGAATTCAAATGAATGACCTGCCACGATCGGCATGACTAGTGGCATCGCATGTGACGCTGAACACTGGAAATCTAGTTAGTTTGTTGGAATGGAATGGATGACCTCAAATCTGAGTGCAAAACTGCCCCATCGAGATGTTCATTAGATGAGTGATGTGCTAGACAATTTTCCTAACTGACGTACTTCCACTTTATTGAGTCACTTGCACACTAATTTACTGTAGCACCCAAGAATTGACAGAGTGGGTTAGATCTGTCACGCCTGTGAGCATACTTGGTTCCGATCGAGTAAAGTTTTTTTTTTGACCTCCCAGGCGCATTCATTATCTCTCTTACTGAGGCAAGAAACGTGGCAACTGCAACGCACATCGGCGCTGATAATCGCGACTGAGAGGCTCTGGATCAGTGCTTCTCATTTGCAGGACCCATTTCATATTAACCATTAGCTGAAGTATCTGGCGCAAGTTCCGCGCAAGTGACGCGAGCAGCTAGTTACCCAGATTTCCTATATTTGGCCTTATTATTTGTAGAAGACCTTCGGATTCAGGTATAGCGAACGTGTGATTTCCAGCCTAAGCAACTCGATGCTTTCTGAGTGTGGCAACTTAGTGTTTGCTCATTCGATCTAAACATAATGATGCTCTGAAATATTGGTAGCTTGGGTGAGTTTATTGGTTGTTGATCAGGTGGCTGTTGATCTGTTCGCCGAGCTTGGCAATTGGCTTGCAAACGCTTTGTCACCATACGAGGAGACATCATCACTGCGCACTGATGACGATGATATTAATGCTCATAGTGCAATGATTGCCACAGCACCAGTATTTCCACCAAATACGATCATTTTGCATACGAATCTGGTTTTTATAGGAGACTGTTGTAAACGGGAGATTCACCGGAGTCTCCCGTAAGTCAAATTCATGTACAAATGTATGGATCTGCGGGGTTTCGCGCAGTTTGGGTTCAGGTAAAACATAAGGCTGGTGAAAACTCGGGGAGTGCGCCTATTCGAAGAGATTCAAGAAGGATGAAACCGAAGTTTTCAGCAATCCTGCGGTAGTTTCTTGCATGAAAACTATGTCTCCCTTTCATACAATAAAATATCCGAGCAGACTCAGAATCATATCGCTTCTTATGTCTACCAGTTCTACCTTAAATTTTCTAGTGCCTGGCCTCTGCTGCCTAGTTCGTCTACATTTCACAGGCACAGCCCCACTAGATCAGGCATAACGTAATGATACAGGAATAATGCGGTAGTTCTTGCATGAAAACTATGTCTCCCTTTCATACAATAAAATATCCGAGCAGACTCAGAATCATATCGCTTCTTATGTCTACCAGTTCTACCTTAAATTTTCTAGTGCCTGGCCTCTGCTGCCTAGTTCGTCTACATTTCACAGGCACAGCCCCACTAGATCAGGCATAACGTAATGATACAGGAATAAATAATCTATGGGAATCAACTCATCCCACGAATTCTTTTGTGAATCCAAACGAATGAACCAAAACCATTAAGAACAATAATCCAGGTAAGTGAATAAATAAAAGCCTTTTCTCTATAACGAAGCTCCTCTGGACAAGGAATGAGTGCACGCACCAGCTCAACGATAACCCTTCTTTATCGCAAGATGTTGGGGCCTACGTGATCAGCCGGTACGAAATTATCAGTTTTATCAACTTGGATTAGTCTGATAGCAAGAGAAATACACCGAATGTTGTTACAGCGTGGCGTCGTTTGCGTATTTTAATTAACTCTCAGGTCTCTAGAAAGTCTCCATGTTCGATTGGTCGAGCACTACGGATCAGACCTACCCGTTGTCCCACTATAAAAACTAAGGTCACTGATTTAATGAAATTGTGCTGCGTGAGTGGCTTCCGCCTCATAATAGAGCAGTCCTATGGAGACGATGTTTCAGACAGGACAGAGATTTGACTCATTGTCTAAATTCTTTTGCGAGTGAAGTACTCAAAAAAGAGAACGATTTGCCTGTGAAATTCGAAGTTTTTTTGGAAGCCTATAGAACTCCCTTGCCTGATTATGGTCCGTCACTGGCACAATTCAAGTCAGAGCATTTCCGGCGTCCACTGATACGTTTGTAAGGCATGTTTTTTGTGTGTATGTCTAAACATTCTACATGTTTTAAGGTAATGGGAGTGAAGAAAATGTAGCGACATCATCGGCTGCCAGGCAGATACCTTGGAAGTGCACCGTGAACGTTGATGGTCTTATCTATGCAGGCGTATCGTGGATTGCACATTTCCGTCTCATGTGTTCTCACACTAGTTCTCTAGAGTACTATTATTGTAAACTGTGTAAGTTTCCCAAATGGACCTGTCATCGATTTGTTCCATCTAGCAAGAGTAGGGCTATGGGGAAAAGCATGTGTAGTGCTATGATCTCATCACAAGGTTATTTGACGGAGTTACAACTACGTATACGTCAAAGAATGTGCAACTGCATTGCCTCACTGCTCTCGTGAAAACGCTGTGGATTGACATCAAACAAGGATAGGTCGTAAGCCTTCTCGCATCTGAAATATTTAAGTCTGTGAGTGTTACGGGTACCCTCTTGTGATATACATCGAAAGTGTAGTTTGTTCCTCTACGGCATAAAGTCGCTCTTTGTTGAATGTTTCGAAACTCAAAACGAGGCGAAGTCGTCTACCGCAACGTATGATCAGTTTTTCATTTTCTGGTGTCAAATAGGAGACTATTAGGCGGGATGGCGCCAGTGAGAGAGTCATCAGGCCACCATTGAATCATTTAGACCAGGCGCTGAGCGAATGCCTGCGCTAGCAATACAGTTGTCAAAGCAGTCTACCACTTGTTGTGAAGAAAATGTAGGGTGAGATTGAACTGCATTGCCTTCATCTTGACTTCAAGACCGATTCACTCAAAGGCATCGCTAAAGTGGCTGAACGGTAGCAGGGACCATCGAGTGGCTGCACGTGAAACCAATGCCCAGTGTAGCGGCGAATCGAAGAACAGGGAAGAACACATCTGTAACTGTTGTCGCACACCGCCACAGTGAACAAAACAGACGTATGAAAGAGCGCATCGATCAGTGGTAACTTGAGAAGCCATGCATATTTTCGAATGAATAGGAACATCAAACTCGTTACAAGGTATGTGCGTGTAGAGAAGACAAAGAAGATAGAGGTGGGGAAGGGGCAAACACAAATGGGAAAATCTTGAATTCTTTTTTCACTGATGGGGTCTCACAAGCAGGGGGTTTACCGATGGCTCAAACGGAGCAAAATTAGACAGAAGCAGGTGGCGCCGCTGAATAGTGTGCATGTGAATGGAAAAATTATAGAACAGCGAGATTGATCTGAATCATCAATCCGACTGAGTACAACAGGGCCGGATATAGGAAATGGACTTCTGGAAATACCATAGACAATCAATCGCATGGAAAAGAAGAGACGCAGGTGTACCCATGTATAAGGGTGGACCAGAGGCTATCCGGATCACTGATACGTTGTCACTACAGTGGGAAAATAGCACCGCCTAGTGGGATAATCTGCGGAAAGAAAAATGACGTGACAAAATAAAAATAAAACGGACTTGGTGACTGGGACCAGTTTACATCACATACGAAAGACACATGGAAAGCACTTTGAGCAGAGACCTGGTGGCCAGACCAGAGGGTAGGAAGCACTTGGGTTAGGACAGGCGAAATCGACTACTCTTTTTCGGTTTAAGAGCAGATTGTGTCTTGCTGGTGTCAGCCAGAGTCCATAAAGCAGCGTTGCTACCTGATGGATTATCCTTTGGGACTGAGTTCAACGAGGAAGTTGATCCTGAGGTTGGAGTGCCGCCAGCAGGCTACAGAGCAATGATTTGGGTAAAGAAAGCACCATTACTTGATCCAGTCATAACAAACTAACAGAGTGGTGAAACTGCAAAAACAGCTGGTGCAAGTTAAAAGAAGCCACTTTGTGGATTAGACCCGAAATAGTTGGAATCACTGGATCACATGACCGAAACGTGGTGTTTATTGACCTCCATATGGCCAAAGAAAATGAATCCACGAGGAACTGTTAGAGCATGGTGGTTGTGAAACAAACTTTGGATGGTTAATCCTAAAGGTGGTCGTCATTGTGTGCCCCAGAAATCTTCGTCGGTTTAATGAGAGGAAGTGGAGGGATGAAGAACGAAAACGAAATGGATACGAAGGCGGAAATCTGTGCGACAACAAGCAAGCATTCAAGGTCAATTTTCACAACAGATCCTGGAGTGTGAAACTAAGCGGTTACAAGCTATCAATTACGAAGATACCAACCTCATTTGCGCAGAGTTTTTAAAAAGTGAACACTCAGGAGTCCTCTTGAAACTTTCTGAGGGTTCTTGGAACATAAAACAATCAACAAACACTGCAGCGCGGTTCAATAAGTTCTATCAGACGCAGGGATGGCGCTTTGGCACTTGATCAGGGGCCACTCGCATGCTTCGTAAGCAGAATGCACCCTGACACTAGGACACTGAAAGTAACTCTCAGCAAACATAAGAGTAACAGTACTTCGCTACCCACCTACCACAAGCCATAACCCGAGTTTAGTGAACATAAGCTGAGGGAGCGGCGGCAGCCACTCTTGTCTTGTATTTTACATGTGTCACGGTTTTATACTTGTACTAATGCTGGCCTCTAAGAGAGCTACCTAAATAAATGACTCAGAGGCGCTAAGACTGTCAAAATCAGCTTGTCGTTGATCAAAACCAACAAAGTATTGCAGCTAGTCGTCATCAATATAAACGTTGCGGTCCCGTTTTAATTGCTATATCCAGTTACAGTGAAATATGTGCACAACACTGACCGGAAAACGCAAATGGACCCTACGGCCTACCAGCCCATTACCCACTACCATTACACAGAACTGTGCACAAGAAGTTGCACTGTACGTTCGTGTCGGAATTGGAGCCGCAATCTGGAAGCTTGCTGTACGCGATCGCTACACTGAAGGTTTGCCTCTATTCTGTCGCTTCAGAGGGTGCGCTATGAAGTTACGAACGGGAATTGGAGCAGCTATCTGGAAACTTGCTGTACGTGATCGCTACACTGAAGGTTTGCCTCTATCCTGTCACTTCAGAGGGTGCGCTATGAAGTTACGAACCTCAGCGCGTAGAACGGATCGTATGTTTGTTCCAATTATCATTCAGACCCAAGTTATTTAGTGCCTCGTCTTACCGTCCAACTGAACATTTCTGTTCACTGTCATATCAGGACAGCGCACCAACAAAACAGAACCAATAACATGATCGAGCGCAACAGCTGAGCTCCTGTTACGTCTCAGCAACGATGCGAAATGAGCCACGACTAGACTTGCCGCTGGACTGCCCAGTCTAACAGAGAAATGGTCAGTTAGTGACACTGGCTGGTGCGGCAGACTGATGATCGAAACCGATATGACTGGCTGACTGCATTGTGACCTGGGTTGGGATGACCAATTAAATGTGTCTGACCTGCTTCGGTGTGCATGTGTGGTGTGATGAAACGGCTTTCAGTAGAGTGCTCGCTATACACAGGCAGTGGCTAGAATCCACATGCGGACTTTCAACGAGATTAAATGCACAGGGATGGTTGTTGGCCTATGTGAGCTGGGGTCTTGAAACGGTGTGTGGGAGGCCAGAGCAATTCCAGCTACTGTAACAAGTCACAGAACCTCCGAGACTGTTGATACCTGTGCCAGAATGGGTGCGAATGATTTCAAGTCTTATGGTGCCCAAGTCCTACCGGTATGGATAAACAATGAGATCAACCAATAAGAAAACACCGCACAGCCAATCGTAAATTAAGTTAACACAACACCGCCGAGTCCCGGTGGCCTAATGGATAAGGCGTCGGTTTCCGGAGCCGAAGATTGAGGGTTCGAGTCCCTTCCGGGACGGCTGCCTTTTCCCCGTAAACGATGAACCACGCTTTGAAGGGCATTCGCGTGAACTGCGGTAAAAACTACAATCGCCCGTGCATTGATGAGGCGGGTAGATTGGCGGTCGAGACACCAGTTGCACACACGAGGATGACAAACACAGGGTTAACACCGGCCAATAAATGCAAGCAAAGGGGAAATGTCCGCCACCGCAGGTGTGGAAGTTAGACGGTTGAGGGTGGCAAATAGAATACCATAAAATATTACCTGGTTCCTGGCCTGGACGCAACATTTTGGGAATAAAAATGGACAAAAGGGGAAGTGTTACGTAAAAGCAAGAAATCTACGTAAATGGAGGAAGTAGAATTGTGGGAATTAGTCATCAATTAAAGACCAACTTGTGTTCGGCCTTGGTGAATTAGGCTCGGACAGCCAAGACAGTCAGGTTATGGCTATCGTGGAGGCGGAACAATTTTAATTATCAACGATACTACTTGCGAGTAGGCGGATTGAATTGCAGATGCGCATACGCGCCTGAAGTGGCGCGGAACATCGATCGGTGTTCACACGTTAGGTAAACTCGGTAATGCGCGCTGACAAAAATCGTATCACGTGAGACTAAGAATGGTCAAGTCCACCAGGCTGGCTATGTTCCGGGAGTTACCAAAAGCTAACAGCTGACAGTCATCGTTTTGGCGTCTCGAAAGTATCAACTTCTGGAAAGGCTAGAATGCTGTCTATGACGCATCCGTGTGCCACGTCTACAGCATAGGAAGCTAAAATCATGGAGGAGGAAGTCCGACGAAGGCAACTAAACTGAGGAGGACAGAACCCGGGAGAATGTGTAGGGTCGCCCTATACACGGACAGGATAAAACCACTGTAAGGTCATGTCATCTCACCAAAAGTTGTTCTAAATTGCGACTGGCTAGTTAGCTATAGTTACCAAACAGTACCCTCATTCGTTTCGGCTGGTGACGACATAACTGTGTTATAAAGCTTGCCTACCCCAAAACAAGCAGCATGCTTTCTACTTGTTGCTTGTCGAAAATATTGACTGTAACGGCAAGACAGATATGGGTCATCAGGCTTAACAGCGTTTGAGCTGATGGCAATCATGAACAAATGGGACACTTACCTGGTTTAGGAGGCTACCGCGAAGGTGTATTGGAAGTTCTTCACTTCGAACAGAGCTACTAGGAGCGAGTGATGGTCTTGGGGTAGTATCGCCGCGGGAGGGGAAAAACTCTTGCGACCCACGAGGAGATCGCCTGCTCGCCAGGTCATCACTCGCAGAATGAAAGTGAATAGGATTGAGCGATGGGCGGGGATTAGAGGGGAAATCAGGTACACTTAGCTCTCGCAAAGATGGAGAACTTCCACGTGAGGTAGTGGTGCTTGTTGTTACGTCAGGAAGGCGTATTTCTGGACGAAAATCAAACACGGACAACACATGATCAGCATTTAAATTAGTTTCGCTTATTTGAGCTCCCTCCAACAAGAAAACATTATGCGATACTGGATAGTAATTCATAATGCTCATGAAGTATAATGGGGGCAAGTAGAGAGACAAGGGCGGATATCTCGAGTATCGTGAAGTTTAGACGAATTTACTATGTCAAGTTTTGCGACTCCCGCGAACCACAAGGGCTAAGTTGCTATCAAGACAAGAGCAAGTAGGAATAGTCTAGACCTATGGAATGTTCAGTCGGAAACCTATGTGTTGACTTCTGAACAGCATGGAGCTGGATTCTGCGAGTACAGTAAGTGAATGGCATCCTTAGTAAATGTGACTAAGCAAGCTGCTTCACAAAAATGATTAAGCTCTACTTTGAGACAAAAATGCCGGGATTAGTTCAACCAGTGAGGCGAATGGGATACTGAAAGACTGCATAACACAGATAATCATGAACCAAAAGCAAAATCTATTCGGAATATATTTTTGAGGCGACCATGAGTGAGGTGCTGTTTTGCGAACGTTGCAGATCAAAATCGACAATCCTCCTCGCCAGCTACGGGAGTAGCGTGTATGCGAGACTGAACCTATTGTCACTGTCTAGCTTGAACGTGGGTAGTTCAGTTTTTAAGGAACTCACACTCACAGAAGAAGTCAAGTTGCAACAGAAGCCAGGAGAAAGACAAAAGGTCACATGAAGGTCGAAATATACTGAAAAATCATAAGTCTGGGCTTTACGGTGAGTATAAAGCTAGTTACAGCTAGGCTGACCTGGCATTGTGATTCCACTGAACTTGACACCTCGACTGGCATGCAGATCAACCTGTTGTTGTAACGTTTTGCAATTCTCCTCGTACTGACGTTGTTTGTGCTCCAATTCTTCTCGGGCCTTCTCGTAGCGTTTCCACTGCTCGGCCAGCTTGGTATGTTCTCGTTCCAGAGCATCCCTCTGGCGACTGTATTCTTTCTCCCATTCTTCCGACTTGATTCGAAAGTTTTCCACGTCCTGACGCAATTTCTCCGTTCCTTGTTTCACCGTCAGGGCAGAAGATACGTCCGCTCCGGAGGAGTCTAAGCCATCTGAGCCACCACAACTTGAACATGTGGATTTGATGAGGCCATGTTGTTTCGCCCGCTTATAAAGGGTTTCCAGTTTATCTTTCTCGGTTTCCAAACATCGAACTCGTGCATCCAGCTCGTCATTCTTGGTGCGCAAGCGAAAAACACTGGGCTGAGAAGGCAAATATACGGCGGGGAATGAAGCCCCTCGTTACGCGAGCATCGGAAGTCAAAAAATGTAGGGAAGGGAAACAAATGAATGTGGTTAGAGAGGAGAAACATCTTTTCCAAACATGCCTGCCTTTGGCGGATGAGCATCGAGTACAAGGAAGTGGGTAAATCACACAAGCAGGTGACACGTAGCCAAGAAGTATTTGTTGTTCTGATAAGCTCTATGGCTAACACAGCTGCTGACTGAAAAAGGAACAAAAAGTACAGCAATTCGACCTTCTTCCGGAGCAAAAAACTCTTTTCACTTGATGTGTAGGACCCGTACGATCGGTTGTAAATAATGGAAAGATTTGTGACTTTTGTTTAATAAAAAAAAGGTTGCTGGATAAAAGTGGGCATCTTCATCAACACTGTCCACCTGTACAAGGCTAAGGAAGTCGAAGAAAAACGCGACGGTGATAAACCGAAAATTCCCAAACCTACTCAACTCAGGTTCAGATACAGAAGGCACGGAATTTTCACCGGAACCTTATTGATCAGAAGGACGTCTGACTTGGAAATTCTCCATTTACAAATGAACAAATGCCATTTGAAAACTCCAGGGGGGGGGGGGAAATAATCATTTTTACCGGGTAGAACAGGTACATGACTAGCAACCATATAGCTTGGTTCTTATTTGTAGGGTACAATGCCCAATTTGTGCGCTTGACCCAGGTTGGAAGTTACGGAAGGATAATAAACGAACAACCTAAACTTGCTGAAGTAGCATGAATTCTTAGTGAACCTACACAATGGACTGCCCACACACGACTGCATTGTTTCGACCGCCAACTGAAACGGTATGCAGAATGCATTCGAGGTAACCCTGTCGGTGCTAAACGGGACGTCACCAGAACTCAAAATTTCCGATGAGCCTTACGGTTGAACAATGAAATGCGAACTGAATGACAGAACTTGTAGATGACCAACACACACTACTTAACCGCCAACTTGGAGCTGAAGAATAAGCGATATATCACTATACTACCAGTACCACTGATTGAACGACTATTCGACCGTGACTTACGAAAAACTCTTCAGAAAGTTGGTCCAAGTTCCGCAGGAGAGTCCACGCCTCAATGGAGTGTTGACTTGAAAGTGAGTTAGACGAACCATCAACAGACCCATCGACGCTTAACTGGAGTGCTTCACCAACAGTTCCGGTCAAAAAGGAGAATGACGGCCGCGGTAGCATATTCGGAGCCAATGGAGTAGAGGAGCTGGTATGTGACGCATCTGACCCACCAATTGATGGGACCCTCTGGTTGGAGGGGCCTTTGGGTGGTTGGCCGGAAGAGGACACAAAGAAATCAGCTGAGGGTTTGTCACGACTACCGGTCCGGAAAAGACTGACCATAGTTGAACTGAGCCGGTTCGCTTCGCGCTGAGTAAGAGGAAAATAAAAAATGGTATATCATCGTGACATCGGAAAGACGGATTGAGAGGTGTGAGCACTAAGCTATTTTCACCGGTGGCAAAGTTAACACCTTGGGTGTATAAAGGTAGAGTAACAAGGAGTGAACATCGAAGAGCACGTTGGGTCTCAAGGTAAACACAAAGCACTGAAAAAATCAAACGGGCTGGCATTCATCGGGTCTCCATGAACACTTCCTGAGGCACCAGAGCTTCAGTAAATGGCAAGGGAGCTGTTGAGGCATCTGATAAGATGCTATTCCCAGACTCTACTGAACAACCGTTCAAAATTACAAAACTGGAATCGGAAGCTGGAGAATTGTCCACAATACCTTTCGGGTACCTTTCAATAAAAATGTCAGCAGCCATTCGACTGAGCAAGAAATGAGTGATATTCTTGCCCCGGTTCCGCTGTCCTTCGACTTTATAGTTGGTACATGATCATCTGCAGTTCTGTTGCTATAGGTAATTCGATCAAATAGGTATTCGGGGGCGGATGCTTTAGGCTGTTAGAATTTGGTCCTGCTTTTTAGACTATTCGTCATTGTGACAATGACGATCCGTGGACAATTAGGGCTTTGTGATGCGTTTGGTCTGCCATTCGTTCTTCGCTGTCTGCATATGTTTTACAGGCTTGGTCCCGGCACCATTAAGGTGCTCCTAAATGTATTTAAGCTGCCATCTGTCGGATCATAGAGTGTTTTGACGAGCGTCAATACTTCTCTTGAATCAGTAACTATTGCTACGTCATTCTTATCAACCTCATCTCACCTCCGTTCTTGTCTTTGTCCACAAGTGGACAACCTGAAATAGACGTCATAAGGCCGCCTAGAATCTCAGTTGGAGTTAGTCACTAGAGAACAGTATTTCGAGATGAACTGGTTTACTTTGGACAGTTTATTTCGTTATTTCCGATAAGGTTTGATGACTTGGTCCAGATGGATATTTTTTTCAGGTGATTTCCATGATAACTAAACCTTCCCACTGAGTGTGTCCAAAGTGCGTTTTCCGCTAACACCGCAATGCAAAGTATAGATCGCGGAGAGTTTGCATAGAGTCTAACAAGAAAGTGCAAAGCTGCGTGCTTCCAAGTCCAAATGGATTTTAAATACACTAACCAGAACATTGAACCATGTAGATCCCAGATAATTTGGACTTCCCGAAAGGACATTTTCGACCTTTGGTCCATATTCTAATGCGAGGTTCAGACCGTTGCTTCCGAAAGAACCCAAAAGACATTTGTCGGGGCTTGGAAATGTGTCTGTTTCAGCGACATCTTGCCGTGCGCAGTTCAGCTCGTCTTTTTCATCTTTCTTTTTCCGGTCTCCGTAAGCACTAGACCAGGTGTTGGCCTTGAGCTCCGTGTCACCGTAGTTGTAACAAACAAGAAAACACTAATGCAACAAGGTGAGTCGGATGACTGTTACCCTGTTTCGGCAAATGAACCGAAACATGTTTGAGACAGACCGTCATTGGGATGAACGTCCCCCGGAGTCTGCAGTGCTACCGAACTACACCCATTTGCATAGTGATTTGATTTTCACCGGAGGCTCAACTGAATCCCAGCAGGAACTCTGGTTTACATTCTTCAACTGCATGTGTTGTACAAGGCCACGTCATGTTTGGTTGGTACGATGATCGAGATATCACAGTAAATATTTACTTGAAGGAAAATGGTCATTAAGTTGCTAGAAACTCTTTGTGGGCTGTCGAATAGCTAACAACAACCTTATGAATAGTTTTCTCCGTAGGGTTCCGTTATTGTATCGGAGCTGTGATGACAGGTGAGCATTACACATTACCACCGGGGGTGGGGAGAAAAGTAGCGAAGTAGTTACCTTTTTGGAACTCGATTTTCGGGCAAGATCCTTCGAATCACCGGGATCTGTGGATTGGAGGAACACATTTATCAATAAGAACAGGTTGTCATAGCATGGTTTTGGTTGAACAGGACTACGCGTCGGAGTGCTGTTATTCCAAGAGACCATAGGTGACTGAACGTAGTTGGCACTCAACACGAATGCAATGCGAGAAAACAAACCCACCCCACGATACTACGTAAAAACCAATTTTGGGCGCGGAACTTGGTTTAACCTTTGCTCGTTTCAAGGGTACCGAATTCGCGTCCGAGCAATGGTAACCGTATAGGTTTCATTTCCACCAGAAAGCACAATCTCTGGAATGTCCTTTCACGAAACCGAAACGGAAATGGCTTGTGAGATAGGCGATTTTGGATTCACCAATTAAAAAAAATGACCGGAGGAAAATTGAAAAGCAAAAAAAAGATAACGGTCCGAACGCAAAACATCCAACTGGGAGATAAGGTTTGTGGCGCCAGTATATTAACAGTTCCACGGAATAAGCGTGCAGAAATCTTATCAGTACCTTATTTAGATAGATAATTTCAGCATGCCTTAGTTACACACTGTATATTGCCAACCACCGAATCCTCGACATGCGGTCAACATCACGTACAAGAACGGTAAGAACACAACAACTTTGGTGGAATAAGATGACGATATGCGACAACTCCACGATCAATACCACCACAAACAACGATGAAAAGCAATGTTCTGACGCAAGTAAATGGGCGTGACTGTCAAAGCTGGGTTCAAGTAGAAAGTAACCTTGAGGCATAAGAGGACTGTACCTACTTGATGAGTCCTAAGAAGTCCGAAACCGATCGTAGGTTTCACGAAAAACGGAAATGGCTTGTGAGATAGGCGATTTTGGATTCACCAATTAAAAAAAATGACCGGAGGAAAATTGAAAAGCAAAAAAAAGATAACGGTCCGAACGCAAAACATCCAACTGGGAGATAAGGTTTGTGGCGCCAGTATATTAACAGTTCCACGGAATAAGCGTGCAGAAATCTTATCAGTACCTTATTTAGATAGATAATTTCAGCATGCCTTAGTTACACACTGTATATTGCCAACCACCGAATCCTCGACATGCGGTCAACATCACGTACAAGAACGGTAAGAACACAACAACTTTGGTGGAATAAGATGACGATATGCGACAACTCCACGATCAATACCACCACAAACAACGATGAAAAGCAATGTTCTGACGCAAGTAAATGGGCGTGACTGTCAAAGCTGGGTTCAAGTAGAAAGTAACCTTGAGGCATAAGAGGACTGTACCTACTTGATGAGTCCTAAGAAGTCCGAAACCGATCGTAGGCTGTCGGAAAGTTTTCAAGCAACTTCACGAGTGGTGTTACCTACAGATAGTGTAATCCCATTCAACAGATTCCAACAGATGAACTTTTCCATTTCGCAACTAAGAAAATCAGTATACGGGGGACAGAGTTGTTCTAGCACTAGTTCCTGGGACATACCCACTTAACTGTGACGCCTGATTCATGGAAACTGCAAAGGTTCGCTGTAAAATCGGGCGCGATCAAATCCGAACATCAGATTCGGCTGCCTACTGATCGATATGGTCAAATTCCATGTGACCTGGCAACAGAAAACACCTCGCAAAGAATAAGGCCCAGTGGTTTTCAACAACCTCCGGTGCCTGTGGCACCAGCACGAGATTCGCCTTTCTGTTATGAACGGAGTTTACAACACTTGGACCAGCACCGAGGTTGCTACGATTACAAGAGAAAAAACGATTAAGTTTTTTATAAATCAACGGTTCGATCACTGCGGGTGATCTTCATCAGGATCAGAGTAATCTGAATCACATGGGTTTCATCATGGATGTCCCCATGTGTGGCGGGAAAATCCTGTCAGTACTTTTGAAGTACATCTTCATCAGGAGAGGTTCGCTTCGGATTTCACTGGCTGGTCTACGTGTGAGACAACCTACCTTGCTGGTCCTCTTCTCCCAACCATGTGCTGAGCCAAAACGCTCTGGGCAGATTAAACCATACAGTGTAACAGAGCACTGGACGCTAGTTTCAGTTAAGCTGTGTTTGTCCTCCATATTTAGGTATTTAAGGCAAAAAAGCCAGGGCATGTTAACGTGTGTCCCAAATTGGTACAGCAAAATATCGAAAACAACAACAACAGTCCCGCAGTAACTAACGTCCGTTTCGTGCAAACACGACACTTTAAAAGTGGATACACCGGATCAAAATCAAAGTAGAATCGGTTGCAAGCCATCGGATATAACGTATATAGAAGAGGAACTGGTATAAGGAGGTATCTTGGGGGGTGAATGCAGAAATAGAGCTACACAACGATTGGAACACCGATCGAGAATTGGCAACACAGTACTACATACAGAGCTCACTCCACACCATACGCATCCGTCTCCACTCCTGCGTATCAGGAGGACGGTAGCTAACAGAATGCCCTAAGGGGAATTCAGGGACACACGAGAGAGATACAAATAACAGTCCGATATCGATGGGAGCGTGGTAACAAAACGTACAGGAACTTTCAACCGAGTTCGAAGGCATGTCGCGCAACACATCAATTTGGCATGGTGTATAGACGAGGGGCCATGGTAACAAAAAAGCTAGTGGGGACGAATCAAACGAAAAAATAGCCAACTCGGCAACATGTGTCAACCAGTTCAATATTGTTTGCGTAGAATGACAAACCTTAAAAAAAGAAATTGGCAGCACGATATTTTATATTGATGAAGATGTTGTTTACAAGACCTGGGAAGGCTATCGGGTTACAAGTGGTGCTCTGCTAGTGCTTTGCGATTTTATTGGACTTTTCTTGCTTGTGACCCCCAACAGTCCTCCAGAACACCATCAACAAGCTCAAACCATATAAAAACCGTACCACAAATGAGTCCTGTGGGTCTGTTGCTTGAATTCACCTTGAAAGGGAGAGTTTTCCTTCCGGGACCTACTGTGGTAGTGGACAGTGACTAATAGGTATCGGGAATGAGAGATCCACTACTCATTGTCCTAACCGAAAAGCTGTTACTCAGACCCTTCAGGAGAGAGCCCATTCCCGCAGCATCATTCCACTACCTAGGGTGATTTTTACGGCTTTACGGTAACAGAACTCCAAGAGTTATTATGGTGTGAGCGAGTTCATTTTGATAGATGAAACTGGAGAGACACAATGCTCCCCAATACTGTTTCCTTCCTCTCAGAATGGACATCCAAAGGATGAAAAACCATTTTCTCGTTACTGAAATTCTTTCTGAAGTGGGTATCTGAAAAAATGGTATCAATAAAAGGCCTGCACAAACCACCGTACCTAATCCATGCTTTATTATCCAGTCACACGTAATCAGTCTTGATTCCATGGTTCACGCAGACTTAGTTCTCAAAAACGAATCGAATTCGGACGTTCACATGAATATAACGACCGATGGTACGATGGTTGGGGGAGAGATGGCTTAGTGGTTTAGCGTGAATTTACTGACCGGAAGGTCCATGGTTCGAACCCGACCTCTCATCTCGACTTCTGTCCCGGCTTGGGCAACCTGGCGGTACCCCAGCCCTCGTGATTCCTTCGGGTGACATGGTGGCTAGGCACCGAAGGGGTGTTACAGCTGAGCGACATTTTCCGGTGCGATGACAAAATCCTGATGAGGTTGATCCGTTTCATTTTTGTTGTCGATTTCTCGTATATGTGGCCACCGTCAATAAGATATTTGTTGGTTTGACCTACAGAAACTTCGGAAATTTCCTCGCAGTGCTGGTCAGATGATACAGAAGGCACCAAAAAGTATCCTGTGACTTTCTAATCTACCTCTCGTTCGGTGATTTCTGTTCGGTATCCGTTGCCCGGTTAGCGCGCTTGTGTAAATTGATACGAAACCGAGTAAATATGACGCTGTTTACCTGGTGCTGGCGTCAGAATATTATTATTATTATTACAAATGCATCGTGTTGCTGACTCGGCCGAGTTTTCGGTAAAACTCAGTACTGGAGTGACTGCCACTTAAAAATTTACCCCAAGGGTACAATAGCTTTGATCAGGGTCTGAAGTGGATCCATATAGCCGGTATTGCCGGACCAGTAGAATTGACCGGCTTTTGAGATTCACTGATAAGTTTAATATAACGAGAAAAGCTGCGTTGAGGCTAATTCAGAAAAGGCCAGAGTGTGGGTTCTAGCAAGGTGTGCTTTTGGAGGAATCAATTGAGCTGCCTCTGATAGTCATATGGAGTAGTGGAACAAATGGTGGTGGCAAAACAGACGGCAGCCAGAAATTGCGTTTTAAAGTGCACTACTCATGTGCTTTCAGTAGCTTAAACAGAAAAAAAGGATATTCGGAAAGGGGGACATCTGAGTGATCAGAACTCGTGTTGTGTACCAATGGTATACACGGCAGTGAATATTTGCAACGACACGGGAAGACATGCTAAAGTAGAAGAAGAGAAATCTGCACTAAGGTAGGACGAACTAAGTGCCACATATGGAAAATTGCTGAATTAAATAGAATCCACTTGAGCATCGAACATCTACACAAATGAGATGACGTAAAAAGGTTGACTGATCTTTCGTTGACGGAGTTACAGTGAATCAAGAACTGTGACACAGTACGTGAGAACATGAACTCCTGAGTATCAGTTGAGAAATCGGAGAGCGATCGGCCCAACCTAGACAAACTTACGATTGACATTATCCCGAGCACTGAATGTTTCGTTTTTTCTAACGGGCTTTGAGAAGGTGTGTTTACGCTCCTCCACGTCCGATGCACTCCGTGACAGGCTACTTGGTGACCTACCCACCAGAGAGAAGTGTAGTCGAGCCACTAAAACCAAAACAGGAAACAGATTTCATTGAACAAATGCCGAATGGAATTAGGCTTGAGAAGTTCATCGTAGATAGGCAGGGGTTTGTGATGACTGACCAAATGGAAGAGTAGATTAAATGGGGTCGATTTACCCATGATCGGATCTGCTTGGGGCACAGCAGTTGACAGAGAGTTAGTACCCATCTCAAGTCTAGTGAAAAACACACGGGTCCAGCTTATTTCAGGCAGTCATGCAAGTCCATAGCTAGGGGATAGGTGGAAAACTATCATTGAGCGCAGTGTGATTAAGTCCATTACCCACCAATATAAGTAGTAAGGATTACAGCACTGATTAAATCCTAGAAACCGATATGAAGTTATTTGAAGCTGATCCAGTAGGCCTAGTAGCTGATTATGGGGAAAAATACCTCGACATCTTAAATGTCTGTCGAACAGAACATCAAAGCAATTTCGGTTGAAGAACATTACAGACTCAGTCGAGCCTCCTTTTGCTTTGCTAAAAGGGCTAAAAGTTGCTAGGTGTATTCTGGATCAATGACCTGCATATAAAAGGAAGTACACTAACACACAAGGCATCGGATGTTCAACGAAGACCATGACCTGCGCTGGTTTGACTGATCTAAAAGCTTGAGGGGCCAAGGCGCTGTTTATTGGTCATTGTAAAATCTCAGTGACAGGATATGCAGAAGACGCGCTTCTTGTGGCCATTTCCATCACTCGAACTCCCATTTTATGGACAGAGATTAATTCCTATGGCAGCCTTTGGATTTCACCGTATGCTTGCTGGTGGCATGCAGTTGTTACGGTGGCATACACGGTCCAAGTAAACAAGTATTTCATCGCATTTGGAAGCTAGAACGTGTATAAAACTGATTCGTTTTCAAAAGGGAAACTTGTCAAAAGATAACTGTCTGTGTGGAGAGCAGAGATCATGTTAAGGAAGCTCATAAGTGCAATGCATCCAATCTACGGTAATTGTCGCATAACACAAAAAGTATTTTAGGTGAGAGAGCGTGCTAAATTTGATATTCCTTTTTTCTTTGGAGAACGTTTTGTATTTTTATTGAAGGAGGACTATCTGATAAAGTGCAAACTTCCTAGTTTACATAACAAGAAACAGTGGAGTGCTTGCTCAAGTAAGTAGCAGCCTGTATTGTCAAGACTATTTGATCTATTGAACTGCAGTTACTCCACAATTACTGGGAAAATTTCCCAGTTGACTTTGTTCTGTCTGTAATTTTGCATTTTTCTAATAATAATATTTTGCAACAGGGATTTCATCTAAGCGAATTCAATCTTGTCCATAAAGCGGAAAGGTCCTGGGAATCATCATCAGTGCGCTTCCTCCGAACCTGCAACGACTATACTGCTTGGCCACGAGTGGCTGATAAGCAGTGCGAGTAACCCGCATCTGAGTGGTCGCCACTCGAGGAACCAGTCAAAGTGTGGCCACTTTGTGTGAATTCAGTGGCTCAAGTGGCGTTCTATCATGACCCGGTGCGAATTAATCACACTGCAGATCAGCCGTTTATGTTCGAACGAATTAGCCCGGGAGGTTAACGGGTTCGAATCAACCTGGAGATTCGTGAGATACGCACTGATGATGCCCTCCACAAAGGATGAAACAGCCATACAATGCTTTTCCGTTTTTCGACTTAGATTGACATCACTTACTGGGAGACATCAAATGGAATTTCCCAGTCTTCTAACACAATCAGTGATACTTTCTCTCTCCAAAACTATGGGACGTCTGTGTTCGACAAGTAAGTTGTGTATCATGTGATTCGATCAACAAAATACCAAGTTTTGAGAGTTTGCTCCCACAGAAACTTATCCCAGTGTCCCCAAACTAAAAGACTAATCAGAACCTTGGCAAAAACATCCCAGCGAGCAGAACTCGGTCGCCGTAAATAACCAACAGCGTACCACAAAGTGAACATCCAGGATGTTACTGAGACAGTTCAAGCTTCAACAGGTATCGGTGATGCGGCAAGTGGTAAGTCAGTTGCTCTAAAGTCTCAGCATGTGTTTCGCGTCTCCTACGGTTCACCAATCGATCGGTCACGTGAATTTCAGGTTGACAGATTGATTGGTTGGTTGAATGCTGCTCACATCTGTGAAGCTAGTGAGTTTTGCTCGGTGAGGGCGGTAATTACTGACTAAGCTGAACAGACTGACTACCCCGAATTAAAACCGCGTATTGCGAACAACACTTTTCAATAAGGTGTCGACTAGAAAATACAGCTATTTAAAATATTTGCACAGAAGCAGTTTAGGGAATAAGTAAGTCCTTCAATTAGGAATCGCGGCTGGCAGGATAAATGATATCAAGTGCAATCGAACGCCGACCGTCATTAGGCGTCACGAGGAACGTCATACTTAACTATGAACAGGAAAGGAATTAGCTTTCATTGACTGGTTTAGGGTCCAATCGACGTGTCAGACATAACATGCCTAGGTAACGAAGGTTGGTACGATGAAGGTAAACGTACGAGTATCTTGGAACATGGCAAACAGTTGATCCAAATCCGAGTTGTTATCCAGACTTTTCATGAAAGTGTTTTTCTCGAGTACTTCAGACACAGTTGGAGGGCTGGCGGCCTTTGTGTGCCGACCTGATCGACCAGGTGCTTTGGGGGGCTTTTGCGAATCACTGGGTGAACTAGTTAAACGAGAATCCGATTCGTTGCCACCATCGTCCGCCTCATTTTTGGACATCAGAATTTTCAACTGTTCCTCGATTAATGCTAGGCAGACACAATTTCGTGCGGACCATGCACGCAGCACATTTTCGTCTAACTCGTTCAGAAGCTGCAGAATTGCTTCAGTTCGTTGCCATCGAGCTGCAATCATCGATTTCGCCTCAGTGAGATCATGATCTAAAAAAGGGAACACAATTTGTATGGACGTAATACATATGTGAAACATCAAAATCGAGAGATTCAGCTCGGTTCCAGGTTAGTTCACCGTCAAAACCAAATAGGTATGAAAATGGGTGTGTTTCGCTGAAACAAACTTGGTAAAACAGTGTGGACCATCTCTAACCTGTCATCAAGATGACAGAGAATGTAGTAGAAACGCGTTTCAAAGTACTTGTAGGGCATGAAAAGTTTATCACAACAGAACAACTTTTAAACGGATTCCTAAATATATCCTTATTTGGTCATTGGTTAGAACGGCTTTACAAAGGTAGTTGTACCATGTAGTCTCTACTGAGAAAATCCTATTCACTGCTTTCTTATGGAACATTTTTTTCATTAAATTGAAACAGAGAAAAAGGGCAGTCGGGGACGGTGCAACCTGGGTGATGGCTTATTGGTTGTCCGCTTGGTGAAACTGATTAAACCCTGATTCCGAACCAACGACGGCGAGGACATGCAACACATTGGTGGGCTCATGTGATGCGACTGCTCTCGGAATCCCATGGCATTGATGTTGTTGTTCTCCAGTGGTTCTTGGCAAATAACTTAAGGGTCTCAAAAATCGCACAGGCTGAAGGTGCAAGAGTAGGATGAAATGGTCATATTACTCACGAAATCCATGCATTACTGCATGACATCCCAATTACGAAATTCCGCTCGCGTTATCGTGTCCTCGGTGAGTGACGCACTTTGTGTTAAACCAACGACAGCAGTGACCAGAACAAAAACTGGGAATCTGAAAAGCCAGAAGCCCACTTTGCTACGATGGTCGTAGAAAAATTCAGATGTTGGATATCGAATCGCACAGCATTAAAACGCAAAGCTTTCGGTTAGGAACAGCGGGTCGGACCACGCAGGACCACTTTGAGGGGTAGAATTCTTCCCCTGACCTCAAAACAGTGGCCCAAACACAACTCAGGGGTTCACGATATTACATTCGCTCTTACAAACCGTGTCCGTAGTGCCCCCGTCTCTTAGGAGTCAGTATGATCCAGCATGGAAATAACTCGTTGCAAAGTTGTACCTCAAGAGCTTCTTGTCGCTCTCCCAAATCTTCCACTACTATCTCGACCGGACTATCTCAAACGGACTATACAGAGCCAAAACCTGTTATCTAGTCTGCATTGAAATAAGATAACATCTCTTATTCGGTACAAACTTCTGTATGTGCGTGATTTGTTTTTGAAAAGCAGTAAGATGTCTTCTTTCTTTCTTTCTTTCCCATGAACACTGATTCAAAATGTGAGAACATAAACAAAACGGTGCTGAACCAAGAGTAGTAATAATACGCGACCGAATAAAATCCTGAAGAAGTGCACCTCATAAGCTGGGTTGTTATAGGAAGGATTGAAAGTTGCATGCCTTTGAACAGCAAACATCAGGAACACCAGATGAATACATGATCAGAAAATCTCTCCGCCATTCGATTCTCAACGGGAATGGTTGTAGTAAGTTAGCACCAAGTCCCTCCCCTTGGACGAGATGGCTCAGTGGTTAGAGCGCGAATTTACTGACCGAAAGGTCCGTGGTTCGAACCTTACCTCTACCTCTCGACTTTCCCTGTCTAGGCTTGGGCAACCTAACAAGATACCGCCATCATGCTATCGATGATGATGATGATGAGGATCAGTTTTCTTACAGAAGAAGGTGCCGGCTGGTGTGCACAAAAGACGAGCGCTGAACGCTGCATAAATCCGGGAACAGATGAGCTGAGTTTAAAGTCGACTAACTTCTCACGACGGATGTCTATACAAGGAGAGAAACGGAAACAGCTGCATAGTTTCGATACTATGATCTTTGTGCCGAAACACTTACCCAGCGTTTGCAACGTTTGCCATTGCGAGAATCCATCGTTGATGACTTTTTCCCAGCGAACCAAATCGTCGACAGTACTGCATCGGTACAAAGTGAGAACGGCCTCCGATTGCAAGAGGATGAAAAACCCGAAACTTCCTTTCTCTACCGACCTACGAAAATACCCGTATACTTGACCCCACCATAAAATCGGAGGCTGCAAGGAAACGGAGAGAGAGGCAAAACAAATCAGGGGTGACATCAATAAAAGGGATAACGGAATTGGCCATTTCGAGGACATAGGAGGTCGAGTAGCTAGAAACCTCCGCAGGCCGAACACATGAATTTCTCTAATTAATAAACAGCTCGTAATAACGGATGTAGCACTACGCATTTTTAGCCTCGATAGACGGTGATGAAATGTGTAAGTCCAACTAGCTCATGCAGATGAGACCCCTCCCTGTTGAGGCAATGGAAAATCTGAGAAATATAACAACTGTTGCTCCAAACTAGCAGCTGGATTGAACAAACAACGTAAACTGGAGAGATGTGCAAGGACAACCACCTATTTAACTGGTACTACTGAAAAAGACAAATCGATCACCGAAAGGCGTCGCACATTGTACGTAACAGGATATGTGGAGTTGAGAAAAATTGTGAATTGGCCGGAAAACGGAGCTTGCCTATCGCATGCGCGTCGGGTTTGGGACAAACTTCTGCTCCGAGGGGGTGGGATGGGGTGGCTAAGTGACTAGAAATAGTAGACAGCAGCAAAAAGCAAACATCCAAACGACGGAAGGGGTTGCGGTCAAAACACACATAGACGCACAAGTTCTCTGCTGCTTGTAGTAACTGGGTCAGAAACAGACGCCGAAAAATATGGCTTCGCCAAAAAAAAACAGACAGGAAACACATGGAACATTGGAAGGTGGAGTAGCAACGAGTGGGATCAAGTGGCTTTCCTGTGAACAACGCTCCACGCCAAAGGAAATGCACTGTTAATCACAGTAGATGGCATTTTCCTGCAATTGAAGCATTTGACGGGAAAATTGCACCTGAAATTTTACCTGTAATCAGTTGGAGGTGAGGATGGGTCTGATTGAAAAAGCGAGTAGGAATATGGACTGAAGATGAGGAGTAGAATACGTCAATGAGTCGGGTGCTATCTCTGGGGGGATGTAACCGCTCACAGAATTCGCTGAGGTATGTGAAGCTGATCTGGAGAGTACCCTATATGGGACATTTATTTCGAGAACAAGTGTAAAATGCATGTCCTTTGCGCCCTCAACGATGAGAAAACGTATGCACAGCATTTCGAGACCGACAGCCAAGTTGGGCTCTTTCGCGACGGAACTCGGTGTTATTCACCGGGCCAACATCTCGTGAATTGAACACTATCAATTAGAGGCCGTCCGAGTGACCGAGGATATGTTATGTTGGAACGCCATTTCGACGATCCATAGGCGTTTTCATCTGACTTATCTCCACTGTCTTGAAAACATGTACATCCATTGTTTCACACAGCGAGAAGTAAAACAAAAACACTTTCCAAAAGATGGAGAAGACTTCCAACCCTTGAAGGGTGAAAAACAGGCGAATTGAAGGACAAGTTGATTGCAACATGAATTAAGATTACCTAACAGGCCTGACTTGAAACAACCACTCAAGATGGATCAATTCAATCCAATCAAGGTGCGGCTGTGAATAGTTACGGAACGCTCTACAAGTTACAAAAAGATCGACATACCCCTACAATTCGCTTCACAAAGATGGTATCACATCGACTGGTGATGAAGCATTTGCAACCGGTACCCAGCTACACTGACACAAGAGTTAATCCGTTTTCCTTTATCGTTTGCAGTGACCTTGTGCTGAATGGACAACTACTTACAATCCGCTTGGGTTTGTGAGTACTAATCAATAATAATGGACACTGGAGGAGCCACCGGTGTGGATGGACATGTGACAATGGTATGTCGAATTAGATTTGGGTTTCGGTGAGACCAGTTTGGTCAATATTAGCCTAGTGGATTTCACTTACTCTTGGGTTGTAAGAACTTCCACTCAAGCTGAGGGGACACAAGAGGAGACACAAGCTAGCAATACCGTCAACTGTAATGATGACAGAACTCGAAGATAGGGCATCTGGTTGTCATGGTAATACGGATGGACAAAGGACTGATGATATCAAGAAATGAGACGAAGGTGAAAAGCAGTAGGCCGCACTTAAAATTTGCCTCAAATCAAACTCCAAACCACCCACAAGGTGGAAATATTTTTCCGTTACTATGGTTTTGCAGGTGAAGCGCAGTAAAGACCACCAATGTTCGATGAACCGTGAAGAGCGCAAGCTTCCGAATAGAGTTTACGACTAACCGAAGTGGCAACGATCGAAGATACTTATCCAACAGAAACAAAAGCGATCGTTCGATCCTCGACATTTTAGTGAACAGATTTGCTGGTTGTGTGGGAATGGTAATTGTGCTCCTAATTGTGAAGTAACGTAAGGAAAAATTGAATTGGAAAGTACTGAGGCTTAGACTTATCCATAAAGTTTGCCGAGGATCCGACAGACATTCGAACTCTCAAATCAAGGTGTGCAATGCGAAGAAACTGATGAATAAAGTCCTCAAATCATCCATTGTTTGACAATGGAGTTAATGCTTATCTGTTCAGCGTAGGCGATTACCGAATCTTTGTGTTTTCTCATTGTTTACATATTTTATTCTGCATGCGTTTACCTACACTTCCACCATTCTTAGAGGAGTCACCCAATGGAATCCTTTCTTCTTTCACTTGCGCTCATAGCCAAACTCATGCAAACGTTACAGCGCGTGAACAATCAAAAATACGATTGTGTGAAGTTTGCAAATTTGCCAGTTGTCCCGGTGATCAAATAAGCAGCTTAAAACAGTATATATAGTATTATACCAAAAACGAATCAGTTCAGAGTTCTTACGAGATCCATAAATACCGGCTTCTTTTCATTTATAGACTGTGTGCTGTATCATGCTTGCACACGGTAACTCGGACGCTGTTAGATATACGCCCCATCAATTCAGTTCATACTAAGAGCGCCTGTTAGTCCCGAACTAATCAACTGACATTTCTGTTCGTGTTTTATTCTGGGCTCACTCAGGAATCATCACGAACAGGAGCACAAACGAGATTCACGCGCCAGAACGCACATTTGATGGAAGATGCGCGTAACCCGCGTTGTCAGCAGATCTCCCCTCCCACTTTCACGTGACTCTGATGTGCATGCATGGCCTTTTGCGCGTCATCCTGCTGAGGCACCTTAAAATAACCTCATCAGTCGACGACAAAGAAAGCAGTCACGTGGTTGTGAAATCTACTACTACCTTGACCTGATCACCAGTTTGTCTAAACTAATTTCCGGTGATCGATAGTTCATATGCGGGCTTGTACAATATCCACATATCAAGCGGACGGTGCGAATAAGTTTTCGTTTAATCTCTCACCTATTCAGGCACATCACTCGTCTCATCAGTTTGGCGCATTCCCGTTTAGTTACAGAATTTTCGGTAGTGTTTCGTTTGTTCTATACTTGAGCTCGCACAAGGATCGAGTTTAAAATGCTGCGGTGCGCTCATATCACTATACGGATCAGAAACATCAAAAGACTTTCATTATTTGACCATCGATGTCTTCGGAGCATCTGGTGGGAATACCGGATCAGCAATGCTGAAATTCGTCGAGTGGTGTTCGGAAGAAATAAATCGCCCAAGATAGATGAACTGATCACACTGCACAGCTTGAGATGGGTTGGCCAAGTGATCCGTATGCCAGTCGACCGACTTCCTCGAAGGGTTCCAATTGGAGAACCACAGGAAGGGTGGGAACGAGTCAGTGGAGGTCAAACAATGACTTGGCAACGAGGTGTGAAAGCCAGCAAACCCGGCTGCGCTGGTCGTTTCCGTCTTCCTGAATGGGGACACCCCGAGACGGGCCACATCAATGGTTAGAAACGGTGTCAGACATGGCCCAGTTGCGCTCTCGATGGCGCTAATGGACCCAAGCTATTGTGCCTAATGCACAACTCCCTTCCAGATTCCACCACTTATAAGTCCACTGAGAGAACTGTATTTACGCTCCAATTTGTTGGCTCCTGCCTCCAATGTGCAGCTACCTCCCCAAATCGTCGGTGGACAAAATTGTGGCGGCTACAGCCACTGTACAGCAAGTATGCGTTTCTTACAGCTGATACTAATAATGATGGTGATGACGATAATGATCGCACATGATGCGGAAGCGTACAGGTAGGAAAGTTTTCGCAGTCGGATAGGGGTTCACTCATCATGAGCTGTAGCGCCACTGCCCTGGTAGGCGGCCAGAAAGTAAACACGGCCCATAATCTTCCAAACGGCTCAAATGCATCCTGGAGAGGAATGAAACATGCTGGGCTTCCCCTCGACCTTGCGTTCAACTGATCGAGAACGTTATGCCAAGTCGGAAAGTCGAATTCAATGTTTCCGACCTCTCCGTTGTGTTAGATGGAAGGCTATACAATGTGGTTTCTATTTGGGTAACTCACATATTATGTGAAAAGTACTACTGAAACTTATATGACTAACACGGGAGGGGGTCCTGATAGGATTTTCTAACTCTCAGCCTCAGATACAGGTTCCCGAAGGGAATGTCATGAAAACGTAAAATGAATGCTAATGAGGAAGTGCATTCAATCGGAGAAATCTCATCAAGTTCCCGAAAATTATGCTGCTTATAAATCACACCGAAAATTCTTAATCTGGCTGGAGAAATTTGAAACTTGAGTTTTCTGAGTGATTTGTGAACCATCTATTCATTAACCTCAAAAACAGGAGCTAAGCGGATACTGGGCACACTGCTGTTAGAATCACCCAGTTTTTGTTGTGCACCCTAACACCTAAAGGTGTGTTCAGGACTGTATTGGCAACCACACCACTGGATGCATATTAGGCTTAGTTCTCGGTCGCAGCTGAAATGGACAGCATACCTGAAGGACAAGAAATGCTATTGAAACCACTCAAGAGGGCGACTGAAAACATCTGGTTAGAGAACGCCTCAAGTTCGGACAAACCATGGAAGAAACGACCAACCGGCAAAAAAACTCATATTGTCAGTAGATCCCAGACAATCGCATAAAAATTGGGACTTGTCCATGGTCTTGGCGTTAGGAAAAATAACAAATTTCCGGCTAGTTGGACCGTGGGTATTACCAAACAGAAATGATGAACAAGGTCAGTCAACGATGTGTTGGCCATCAGCTGCCATTCCGAAATTTCCTTACTAGCAAAATCCGTGATCAACAAAGCCACCACCACTGAGCACAACCAAATGATGGCGCTGTCCATCACCCAACATCACATCGTCCCAACGAAGGTTCCAAGTGATGTAATTCACAAACCAATTCATCCCATTTTGATTACCACCACAGTCAATCCAGGGTTCCCGTCTCAAAAGTCCGCAATTCCAGTGGTGCACCATTCGTAGCAGTTGTTGTGCGCAAGGAACACTAGAATTCAGCTCAAAATGCGTCTGTGGCTTTGGGTTGAAACGGTGGATAAATGCCTTATTTTCGAATTTTCATTGGTCTCCCTCTAAGTTCCATTTTCCTCCCTAGATGTACATCGTATTCTGTGGTCAGAGACTTATGGATGACTTTCGTCGTTCATTTCATGGCCAGACAGTGTCGATGCGCGTGTTATATTTAACTCAAATGAGTGACGAAAAATCGCAAATCAGATGAATAGACCGAGTGAGCATTGTTCACAAGTCACGTTCTCTTCTAAATTGTATAGACTGCACGCCGGCGAGTCTGAATTACAACGTAGATTGTTCCTGCGAGATATATTTATTCTAAAAATGAAAAGGTTCATTTTACTGGTTACATGGCAGCTTCTACACAGGGCGATCCTCTCAGAACGCATGAAGTGCAATAAATGGATTCTGTCAAACTCAGGTTTCAAACCGGGCGCACCTCAGATGCCGTAATTACAGTTCCCAAAAAGTTGAGGAAACCAGATGATCCGACAGGCCTATTGTGTTATGTGCGAAAGACAGGTTAGGTTACTTGTCAGGTTACTTGTCATATAGTACAGTCCCATTGCTGCCCCCAAAACTTCCACACAAAAGCTTTCGCTGGTCGATCAACAGTGTGACCCAGAATCCTTTAATAAACCAATCAACAGTCGCGATCCTCAAACGTCTCTGGTAGGCAACAGGAAAGATCCGAAATATGGCAAACTTTGTGCGCGAACATGCAATCGCACAAATTCGATGTATCTTTGAACAAACAGGAATCAGTTTCACGGTAAAGCCGTTGCACAAATTTCCAGGTAGTTAAAGCGAAGTGAGCTGGCACCGCTGGCAGTGGTGTTCAACCGGATGCACTGTACTTTGACACTCACAAGGCGCCGAATCCGTTTTCGGTGATCGACTTTGTCAAACACGGTTGACAAGACAACTGATGGTAGTAAATAAATCAGTTGAAATAGATAGTTGGTTGCACACATAGAGTTCAAAAAATCCGGTTGACCACATGGATAACAACTGGAATAAACAACTTTCCAGCTTGGCTGAGTCGTACGATAAAAAATGTTCACTTACCATTTTCGTGCCTCTGAACAGCTGATAACGTCCTGATTCGGGCATCTTCTGTAACACGCAGAAACAGCTGTTTAGACCCAAGCCAATGACGTCTACCGCTGGAGAGGAGACTAACACGGGGAGGGTGAACAGAGATAACGAGACTGGCTAAACCGGTTGCAAGACAGGTGAACGGCTTTGCAGAGAAACATGTGCTAATGAATGTCAAATCGTGTAGGTGGACATGGGCAGCTGTCCAACATAGATGGTGATCTAACGAATGCTGTCGTGTCCCCTACCTACTGCATAGTTTAGTTGCAATTTAACCAAAAAAGCATCGGAAGCTGGTTACCTGAATGGAAAAATAAACCAGGTAGTACCGGACAACTGCTATGTGCGTCATCTCAAATGGAGAAGCACAGATGGTCACACATAAAGTGTAAAAAACGAGCAAAATAAATCAACCAAAATTATCAATCACCCAAACGTATTTTTAAGAAACTTCATCACAAGTAAATTACGACCTGGTGGATCCACCTGACCTCAGTGTCAGTACCATCTTAGTGATGGAGTAAACCAGTCAGTAACTAACTTGGCCACCGGATTGCAGATGAGCACTAGAACTGGTGATGTGCTTTCACAACACGAACGCGTACGAAGGAAAGCCAGCACTTTACCTATAGGACTTGGTCAGTAACATAATTTCGAGTCCAGGGCACAGACAAGAAAAACAATCTAGGTGGAATGAGGACCATCATCATCACTGTCAGCTGTAAGAACCGTGTACTTGTCGTACAGTGGTTGCATGTGCCAGTTTCGTTCACTGATGATTCGGGGAGGTGGGATGGATAACTGCGTATTGGACGAGGGAGATGTTAAATTGGTGCGTAAATACGGCATTGTCAGTGGACTACAAAGTAGGGGGATTGGGAAGGGAGCTATGCATTGAAGGCGATGGCTTGTATGCACGAGCGCCATCGAGGGCGCGACTGGGCTATATCTGACAATGTGTTTAACCATTGACGTGGCCCGTCTCGGGGTTCCAATCCAGGAAGGCGGCAATGACCAGCGCAGCTGAGTTTGCTAATACTGGCTTTTATACTTCACTATCAAGTTATGGTTTGACCGCCTCTGGCTCGTTTCCACCCTTCACGTGGTTGTGCGGAAAGAACCCTTCGAGGAAGATCTCAACACAGAGGTTACTCGAAAAAAGATTACGACGACTCATCCTTGTCACGGAAAGCAAGCCGAAACGTGTTGCCAGCTGGAGTTCCCTCAATGCAAAAGTTAACCTAAACAATCCAGAGATAAGAAAGGCTACCTTACTAAATGAGAAAAAGGGTTATAAAAAGGATCCCATATGAGAGCAGCAAGAGCTTCCTAATATTTTCGGTCCTGGGACCAGTCACATTGTGTGATACAGCGGACAGGAAGTCTGATAAATAAAATCTGTAAAGTCTGTCCATCGTCAATAACAATAGGGTAATTGGAATGAACGCGATTCAGTTATGACAGCAGTTCAACAAGAGGGCGTATATAGTCAAGATGACGCAGAGATTGAGAACGCATCGGCACAGTTCGAGTTCATTCGATGACTGTTTGATTGTTCTGTCTACGTATGCCAGGTATGAGGGTGTCTTAGGTTTTGTGTCCCCTGCGAACTGAATGAGAATTACACACTGACGAAATTCGAATGTCAAGAATAGTTCTGTACAGCATCCCTTAAAAATCACGGCATTGAAGTGCGAATAGAAAGGAGCTGAAGAGGACAAGCAAGTAACATGTTAAACATCACGAACGATGAGGAAATTGCAGTGGTAATTCGTAAGGATGTAAGAAATCGGGACAGCGAGAGAAGTGCACGCTGGAAAACGGCATGAACCCCCATCAATTCGACAAGCCACGCTGCTAGTCCTCGGTGGTTCTTACTTACAAGAGGATTTCAAGGGTTCGGGAAAAAAGCGAAACAATCTCAACACAGAGGTTACTCGAAAAAAGATTACGACGACTCATCCTTGTCACGGAAAGCAAGCCGAAACGTGTTGCCAGCTGGAGTTCCCTCAATGCAAAAGTTAACCTAAACAATCCAGAGATAAGAAAGGCTACCTTACTAAATGAGAAAAAGGGTTATAAAAAGGATCCCATATGAGAGCAGCAAGAGCTTCCTAATATTTTCGGTCCTGGGACCAGTCACATTGTGTGATACAGCGGACAGGAAGTCTGATAAATAAAATCTGTAAAGTCTGTCCATCGTCAATAACAATAGGGTAATTGGAATGAACGCGATTCAGTTATGACAGCAGTTCAACAAGAGGGCGTATATAGTCAAGATGACGCAGAGATTGAGAACGCATCGGCACAGTTCGAGTTCATTCGATGACTGTTTGATTGTTCTGTCTACGTATGCCAGGTATGAGGGTGTCTTAGGTTTTGTGTCCCCTGCGAACTGAATGAGAATTACACACTGACGAAATTCGAATGTCAAGAATAGTTCTGTACAGCATCCCTTAAAAATCACGGCATTGAAGTGCGAATAGAAAGGAGCTGAAGAGGACAAGCAAGTAACATGTTAAACATCACGAACGATGAGGAAATTGCAGTGGTAATTCGTAAGGATGTAAGAAATCGGGACAGCGAGAGAAGTGCACGCTGGAAAACGGCATGAACCCCCATCAATTCGACAAGCCACGCTGCTAGTCCTCGGTGGTTCTTACTTACAAGAGGATTTCAAGGGTTCGGGAAAAAAGCGAAACAAGAGTTTGGGTACAGCTGTTGGGTCAGTTGATCCAGCATATCCGGTGTTCGGTTTTGACATCGTTTCAATATTTTCATTTTCATTGTTTTTTACACTGCCCGCTAACTACCTACTCTCATATAGCGCCGATGACGGATGTGCGGCGAGGGCGCAGGTTGGCGGGACAAGACGCAGTTCAACCGGTCGAACTTTGTCTGAGTGTGCCAAAGTTGTGTATGTTTCCACTGTACTCCTCCTAGGCTTACTATGCATATACATGGGTCCAAACCAGGCTTACAGAGTTAAGAAAACCAGTCTAAACGTTTCGAAAAATGGCAACAATCCGCCCTCCATACGGTGCCTCCACTCTCAGGGCTGAAGAACGAACGGGGGATATAAAAACACGTAACGGACAATTTAGAACTATCGCATAATGTTGCACATTCAGACCTGGCCTAAGATTAAGTTAAGGTGTGCAGTCTGAAAGGATGATAGTTCAGCCTGTCGTGCAGCTGACTTTGATCTTGTCACATTGCGCCAATTCGCTCACTTCTTAGTCTCTAATTAGTTCAACTGTTAGTCTTACTAACGGATCAAGGTCAACCTTAACTTGGAAGGTATTTTAATCTCCGGAACAATTTGAACAGAACGGTAAGAACAGCAGTGTTGGGACCTGAATTGATTTCATGTGCCGCAATACGCGTAAAGCGAAACCAAGTAAAGGGTTGATGCTACTGTTTACTAGGAAGTACAATGCAACGTGACCAATCAAGCTAGTCTCCAGTTTTCTGGGCACAGAGTGCGGTTCTGAAACGACTAACACATAGGTCTTCTAGAAACACCAACCTTCAGGGCGGTTGTTTCGTGCTATTACACGGAATGAAGAGCCAAGTTCAATCGTGTGTCTTGCTCTACATTCCAGGTCACGAAGACTGAAGTAGATTGAAGCCATATGGACCAATCGAGTTGGTTTGAGTTCCACCTTGAGAATGCCTTGGTTTTATCGATCGGTAGCGTTACATTTTCGTTCCAAACAAACATTTTCACTAACCATGTAAGTTGTTTCATTTTGTCCCATTGTACGTATTTGGGCAGACGAGATTGTGGGAAATAAATCAAGCAAGTAACACAGTCGTTCTTACTTCATTGTTAAGCATTAGTTTGGTACAAGAAATCCCGGTTTATCTTTTCCGTTCACGACGGTAAAAGGTATTCTTTCTTAGTAGTTTGGAGAGGGTTCCAGACCAAGTACGTGTCGTCAACAGCCAACGGGGTTGTAGACTGGTGTGTTCATAATCATCATAGTCAGATAAAAACTGTATACACGACTGTTCCTATCTTGCACATCACTTCCATCAAATTTCATTGGATATACGCACATTCATCAATCTGACTTCTTTGGAAATATGGGTTTTGAATGACAAAATCGAGTGCACCAAATAGGCGCTCGCTATCGTGAAGCAACAGAAGTGGTCATACCACCCTTATCAGTAACGATGATCCTTTTCCAGTTAGTATTTTTAGCTTGGTTGTCGATGAAGTTAAAAAAACAAAGTCATCTGAAGGCTGAAAATGACATGGGTTTGGCCGATTTAAGCACCCCCACCCCCCGTGATTCATGGGACTGACTGAAAGTTCAACAGTTTCGTCATGGAGTGAGATCTCTTTCAAAGTTAAAAGATTTGATGTTTCTGTTAGGGTCTACTTTAAACTAATAGGGCAAAAAAAATCGAACCACTTTTCTAGTTACTATGCACGCACATGCACTGTATTTAGAATATTCTGTTCCGGTCGGTAAAACTTCAACATATAGTAACCTCAGCCGATAAACTGAAAGGGATTTACGGTGGAAAATAAGCTGAAAAGCACTGGATTTGAGCAAAGTGGGATTGATGGCGTTGAGGTAAGTGAACTGGAGCGAACCTCCTTGGAGTAGCGAATGACTGCCCAACCTGCAGAAGCCTTGTGCGATTCACCACTCCAAGCTCCCGGAACAAGCTGCTGGTCTTTCTTTAGATAGCAATAAGAGCGGATAGCAGAAGTGAACCGTCAACACTGAGATAGTGAGCAATTTACACCTTCCTCTTCTTCTTCTGGCTCTTCTGGTATTGGCGTCTTTCTCCACATCATTAACTTGGCAATCGGTTTGCAAACGTTTCGTCACTGATAATGACGTGGATCATACGCTAATGAGGGAGCCGAATAACAAACATGTTCATCTCTATTTGTAACAAAATAGAAATCCGATGATGGATACCAATTGTGTCGAATGCTGGTTTTGCAACATTCATCCTATCATTCTCGTTTCGTGCCGTATCGATGAGCAACAAGGGAGTTCAGCTACGTTGTCGTTACAGTGTGCTGTTATCCTGACCCTGGAAGGTCTGCTGAAACCCGTGGTGTTCTAGCTCAGATAAACACAGGTATTGCTTTGATATTCCCAAATGGGCAATGTCTGACGACCGCCTGAAAATTTGGAGACTGATAAAGTGTGATCGCCTCGGAAATTTAACTGGGTTATTTTTTGTGTGCAACACATGAGTCTTCGTTGCATCCTCTAGGATTCGTTTTCAAGGGCACCGCTTTAAACCTTATTCATTATTGCATCTGCCAACAAAAACCCAATTGAGAGCCCAGAAACACAAATACTTAAAAAATATAGGTATGTAAAACGCGCATCTCCCAGGGGTCATATGAAAGCTGTGCAAAAAATCGTCACAGTTTGACCGAGGGCATCGATTTCGACTTGGATTTCGTTCAGTTTGAACCGGATGGCATACGGCGATGCTATGCAATCAAGGTCATCGATAGCCAAAGTAGAAGGTACAAACACTGAAAGCCTCAATAGGGGATGAATTGCCTGCGTCCCGAAAAAGTGATGTTATAATCCCGTTGAGTGTTCAACCAACCACAAACTGCGAAACGTCCCACCATTTGGCCAGAGCAATTCCACCCTAAGCTTCAAACTCAGTTTTTACCAGCAAAACGAATGCATTAAGGTGGACTGCGCCCGCGGTCACCGACAGGTGGATTCATGTCTAAAGGACTATCAATCAATAGGAACATGAAAGTTGGACATCAAATACTGTTTTACGGAGCTATATCTGACGGACAATCAAGATAGGATATTCCAAATTATCTTTCAGGAATGTGGAAACGTTGATTGGTTTACTGCCTTCGCATCCTTGTTCGCACAACTAGTAATGTCACTTTGCAGGACAGGATCGTAGTTTGCAGGAATGACGCTTCGCAGTTGCGTGTTTCAGTTCAGCCTCCACGAAATCGTCGAACATGTGAGACGCCCAATTCAGTCCATGTGGCTGCAGAACCGGCATAACGGTGAATATCACAGATGAAATGTGAGAGTAGTATTTGCCCAAAGCAGTTCAAACCGATGACTACGTATGGGATGGAAGGTCGATTTATTATTATTGGACCACTTTGCAGGGTTAATTAGTGTTGAATGTTCGAACAACGTCAAGAAGGGCTCAGGAGAACCCTTGATGATGCTGATTTTCTCAAAACCTCTGTGCGAACAAGGCTCTTACTTCTGTGTCCGATAGTTTGTAACCGCTTTGTTCATGTCTCTTAGTAAACGAATCTGCACTTGAAGGCACATATCCTTTTACTTGGTGCCGTCTAAAGGAACCAGATGAAGATCCTGTATCCACAAACTTCCGAGGATGGGACGTTCTTGGAGGACTTTGAGGATGGGGCCAAGATGGCCGGCCTGAAGACGGACTTAAGTAAGTTGGCGGTGCTGAAGACCAGAGGCCGAACGAAGGCAATCGTAGATACGGTTGAAGGGGGCCCCGAGAAGATGAGTTGGGCGAAGGAAACGCTTCCAGCGGGGTTTGATTCACCAGCGGATCTCCAGGAGGGTATGGAACGGTTCAAGGCAATCAGGGTGAAAGCGGGTGTCCACCAGAGGTGGTTGGACCAAGCCTTGCCCGGACTGGGAGGAGTGTCGCATCAGGAGTTTTTGACGGAGCAGTTCGTCGAGCGCATGTTGGCAATATTTAGCGCTCAGTTACCGTTGGTGGAAGCGACAAGCGTAAAGTAAATGGTGAATCCCGCATGTGAGGTGGCGGAGGTGACAATGCCCGCACTGGAGTTGCAAAAGAAGCAGGATGTACAGCCATCGGCGGACCTGCGGACGGTATTGGACCAGCTAACCGGAGAAATCGCCGCCATGGAAGCAGAAGCGCGAAGGAGTATTCGAAGGAGCAGATGCGACAAGTGTGACATTACTGGCCACTGAAAGAACGAATACTCCCGCAACCGGCTATCCATCAGTAATAATGTCTCTGATACTTGTCTTTTCCTGGATGGATTGCAAGTAGTGCAATAACAGAGGCTAGGATACAGCCGGTAATTGAGACAGATGGGAAGGACGAGTCCTGCCTAATCGATACAGAGGCAAGGGCGTAACTTAGTTACAAAGGGGGAAGCTCTTCGAAAACCGTGCGCACCAGCAGTGGAGGGCAGCAGGTCGATACCGATTGAAAATCGACGAGTTGTTATTGAATTCAATGCAAATAGGCGAGCACGCGTTTCTTACTAGCACAGGCATAAAGCAGACGATTTTGGAAGCCAATTTCCTCACAAATGCGGGAACTGTTTTGGCCCTAAGGCTGATGGAGGTCAAGAAAGCGAACAGGAAATAACGATTTTGTGTGGATTTCTGATTTCCGAACGAAATGACCCTCGTTTCGACGGTGGTCATCGTGGAGATTATTCAACTCTAACAGCCCTTGTGTTCTTGATACCGACAACTGACATTAATTCAGAGAGGATGGGAGGAAAACTCCCTCTGCAGTTGGGGGAACCCAATATCACTTTGGAAGAATGTCTCGTGGAAGGTATTATTGACATTCCGTCACCTGATGCTTCGCTTAGTGAAAGAGCTGGAGAAGGTTACCCTGTACAGGGACGATGATATCATGTACAGCGATTCGGAACCAGAACACGCAGCGCATTTAAAAAGTGCTGAAACATTGTTGTGAACATGGTCTTTGGAGCAATGAAGCCAAGACAACTCGCTCGAAGTTCGGAGACTCTGACTGATCACAAAGTGGGTCACGGAGAGGTCAAGCCATTGCCAGAAAAGATCCAGCACTATATAGTCCTAAATTAGGAACAGCTCTCACGGGAGTATATCGAACGAGCAGGATACTACAACCGGTTTGTCAAGGATTTCAATTTGATTGCTGCCCCACCGTCAAACCGGAAAGTGTGAGTGGACAAGTGAAGCAAATGAGGACGCTGAACGCGTCAAAACGCAAATAGTAGATCAGCAACTCGCGTCAAGCTGCTAGAGGTCGCGAACCGCTTTCTAGTGACGCTAGTGATATGGGTATCGTTGTCGTTATGAAGCAGAATGATAAGGCCATCGAGTATACCAGTCATGATCTAACTAGTGCTGGTGTTTAACCACCGAGAAAATCAATATTCTTAAGCGTCCCCTTGAGCTTTTCCGGACATTTAACATTAGTGTACGAACCTTGTAAAACGATTCAACGACTTTCAGATACGGCTACAGAGCTTCAAACTGCTACTCATACGTCACATCAGTGGTATACACCGTTATACAAGGACAGTGCTGAGTCATGACCCCCACACTCAGGAGACAGCTGTTAAAAGCGATCAACCTTTCAACTGAAGATATAAATGAGCGCATCTAGGGACTCCGTTCACAAAAGTTAGTTTCGGAGAGCAAAAGATTGAACCAAACTATACTGGCCATGTGAAATGAGAGATGTAAAACTTTCTGATTTATCTACGTGCAACTGGGGAGTTTCGGCAGTTTATGAGAGAATCTATAGCAAGGGAACTATTGTACAACCAGGACCAAAGTAAAGCCTGAAATATGAGGTTTTCCTTCGCCAAAGAACTTGTGAATGAGTCTAAATACCAAGAAGAAACCAAATAGACTTCCTAATACAGGCAATGATGTTAAAAAGAATTCATTGATTTTCCAACGGTCCAAGCAGAGGATATTGGTTTCTAAAGAATTACCTGGCTGATATCCAGACTGTATCATATTTGCACTGCGTCCAATGACAAGACTATGACATATAGCCGCATTGTTTCGAAAAGTTCGGTAGCTTTAATAAGCATTGGAGGTGCTCTAGAACCAATCCTGTCCTTCAGTACAGCTTCGTGCTTAGTGTCAGTGAAAAATCGAACTGTTTTTTCCGTGTTGCACAGACGTGAGATCCACGTACATGAATGACAGTTTTCGCATCACCTTACTATGTCGTACAACCATCGTACAATGCGGTTGAACGGATATGAAGGGATTTAAACCTGTGAGGTCAACGTAGCACTTCGCATAGAAATGTGCCAGAAAAGGTAGTGTTTCTACAATAGGCACAGAGGAATCATCTGCAAGTTTCTGCGCTTCGGATTCCTCAATTGCTGTCAATAAAGCCATCGTCTCCAAGCAATCTGCGCCTTTCAAAAGGGACGGAATTGCACCCTTCTTAATTAGTACACTATGAATTTGGTACTAAATGACCAACCGCTGGCGAGATACACTCATTTGCGAACAAATTTGGTTTTGCGAGAGGCTCACCTGGAACTAAGCTAAATCTATCGTTTATGGTGTTTCAGCTGTTTCACATTGTGGCGTCAATATAGGAATGGCTCTCATTCGAATAGCTTGGATTCACAGTGGGCGGATCTCCATTCGGTTATCATTAGTGTCAATCGTTCACGTATTAACTGACAGAGTCAAGAACGTTGATGCCTCCCCGTATCGACACAACCNATCACAGCAAAGCGAATAAGCAAAGAAGCAAACCTCCAAAACTAAGGTAGACAGTGTGTAGCTTGGGCCTCGAGTGGCAAGCAACTTCGTCTCTTCATGAGGAGCTTTACTTTATATGGTTGAAGTTTACTGTTCAGACAAGAGGACCGTTTGAAGTTGTATTCTGATAAGATCTCCAAATCCAACGGAAGCAAAAGTGTTTGATGAAAAAACGAAGAAGTAATTCGCCAGGTTTCGTTCTCTTACACCCGACGAACAGCCTGCAGAAACTGGCAAATGGCTAATCGTAGGCTGACGTAGAATGACAAAATGAGCAAGCTAAACGCTATATCTGAAGTAGCGAAAGGAAACATAAATCCAAAAACAACTCATGGCTGCATAACAAACTCGGGAAGACGCGTTCCATGGTCACTGGTTGTCACCGTGAATCTTACGCGGGCGGAATGAGACGAAGATCACCATTATGACCAATACTAGTGGTGGATACTTGTGGTCCCAGTATGGTGCAATCGTCAATCGAACAAACATCTGTTGTGAAAACAACTGAACACAGAAGGCCCATCATGAGTAGAAAAAACGAAAAAAGTACGTACGTTGTGCTCCAACTGGATTGAGTACAATACGTAAAGGTCCATAGTTAATCAAAGTGGTCGATGGGGAACGCATCACAGCACGTAATTTGTGCTCTTCCGTGTCTTCACCACCAGGAACGAGGAGCCCGTTGGCAAACTCATTCAGCTTTTCCGCATGCTCCCGAGCGGTCATCACAGATTCCGCTCCTTTGAGAATGCACCGCACAGCCTTACGAACTGATTCCAAGTGTTCAACTTCAGTAGGATTATCTGCAGCAAGGAGAGTTGACAATGCACCACTACTTTCAGATAAGTCGAACGTGTGCCGAATGATGTGCGGTTGGGAATGATGAATTTATTATGCAAAGCGATTAAACTAAACTAGATGGCTTTTGCTAGGAAACGGATGAATGCTAGCTTCCTATCATAATTGACAGTTAGACAACAAAGATACTAAGCAGGATCAAATAAAAAGCAAAGGCCTAAAATGTGGCGGGATAAGTATTTGTCTGTGAAGGGGAGAGATGGAAGCACAGGTGTCTTTTTGCTTGTGGGAGGCTGAATTGCCAACAATCCTTGGGGAGTGGGAGTTGGTGTAATAGTTGGTAAAAACAAGTAAAGTCCATTAAAGGAAAATTAATCGTTGTATCCCATAAATTTGTAAATAGACGCTGTTTGCTTAAATTATTAAGCTGAGTAGCTATCCTGGATTAGGCAATGACTAGCGTTCAGGATAATGAATCCTTTCTTAACGCTCTGACATCCTAATTGGTATTACGGCTAATCGTACGGCTACGTACAGCCGAGCAATCACATGTCTCATAAAAAATAACACTAAAAATACTGTCAGAATGGAAAAGGATGAGCAGTATGTTGGTCGTACACGCCACCAGACGATTGAGCAGGTCATCCACGTTGGAGAAGACTCGTACAGTCACGATGTAGAACCACGGTCAAATGCGGCGTGACAAGCGTGCAAATCGATTACGTGCAAGATGATGAGAACCAAAGAACATGTGATACCATGATCTTATTCTCCGCAGCCGGTAGTTCATACAAGAAAAGCCTGGGCCACACACACACCACGTGATCAAGTGCATTGACTTTTCCAACATTATTGATCCGTGAGACCATTGTGTGAGACAGATAGTGCACTGACTCGGAGAATCAGCAGCATGGTTACAAGGTCCACGTAAGTCGCTGGGGAGGCTTGCAGACTACTGAATTCGATTGATGTCAGGGGACCAATATCTCATGTGTGTCGGTTCCCATCTGTAGGCTGAGGCATTATCGAACAAAAATAAATTCCAGACTGGCTTCATGCATAGTCTGAAATCCAACGAAATGTTGGCTCTGAAAATTGCCTTTTTTAACGTACGCCTTTATCCGAGAAACAATCCTTGTAGTACAGATTTGCTCCATTGTGATGGTCCTTGAAGAAACGACCTCTCCTCCCAGAAGCAAAGGGTGAAACATTGGTAGTCTACGAAATGATCGATCTCAAGAAGAAATACCACAGCGAAAAATCACTAGGTCATCAAAGCGGATTGGCCAGTAGATGGTATCGCGAAGAGAGCAACACCACTAGCATGGCTCCTACATTATTCCGCCAGATGAAAGAGCTCGTGAGGACAGTAGTTTAGCTACTATAACTTGCTGAGACGAAAGTGGAGTAAAGGATGAACTGCTTTTGTTGTGTTCCTCACAAAAATGCGTGTTAGGCAGCCAAACTGTCAATCGTCTGTAAGTACAAAGAAGCCAACCGTCATTCGATAGAGTAATATACATAAGATAAAGTGCCTACAAAAGACTCAACGTCTGGACAAAAAGTGTTAGCCGCGTGCAAGAAATGTACAAGATGGTTCGCACTAGGAGAATAACTCCGAAAAGGAGGGACATTATGGCACTTCCAGAGAGCGCTTCTTTGTGGAGAGGGAAACTACACTTCATTTGATATGAAGTAAAATCATGTGGACCACGAATGCCGAAAAATATTAAGGAGAGTTATTTAGTTGCAGGTAGGATCTGTCTCCTTACTTCGTGCTTCCTGGATCAGAGCTTTCGTACACATGAAGGGATTCTCGGTATATTAGACAACGCTGGAGTAAGACCAACACAGACAGAGGGTCCAAACAATGGCCTCGACTTCTCTGACGGAGACTGAACACATTGTGTTTTAATAGGGACCAACGGTACTGAAAAGTAATCCGTTTCATCGAGCAACTTCATCACTGAGATTGACTTGTTTGACTCGGTTTGCTCAGTATATATGATCCGTATAATTTTGCGAAAGCCGAATCGGCACTGAAAGAGGGTATCTAGTCATAATCAACCAATATTCAGGCGGCAAGTCCTCTTTGGAGATTGTTTCATTTGCAGATCCACTGATGATCTATAACCGAAGTGCAGTGAACTGTCAGTCCATTTACATATGCTGACGAACGAAGTCCGTTAAGAGTGCGTCCAGTTTGACAGTGGTTAGTTCAGTGTCCTATGAATGCTCGCTCATCAAAACCATCATTACTGACATCAACTGTAGAAAAGCGATGGTACTTCGCTGCAATACCTCTTTGTAAATTTGTTTGAATAAAGCCTCATAGTGAAAACGACAAAAAAGAACAGGGAGGGGAGCTAGAGCCAGCCTAGCACAAACCACTGAAGGGATTACGCCTACAGAACCTAACCAGACAATATGGATGGAATCCAACAGAATGAACGCCACGGATATCGTTGCCACCATATCGTGTCTTTAGCCAAGAATAAGGAAGGTCACGTGGGCTTAATCGTGGAAGATGAACAGCACCGACAGCAACCAGACGATAATATGCTGTTCACCTCTGGGTTTGTGCCAATCCAATTTAGGCAGGGAAAATAATACTGCTCTCGGTAGACGGTAACTTGGCATGCGTAACACAAGGCCCAGCCACTTTAATTTGTCGCGCTGGATGCAGTCGTTGAGCTATGTACCTTCCGCTTCACGAAAGAACCGTTTCCTGATGGCCTCATTGTGAATTCGCCGATTCCAGCTTTAGCTGTGAGGCAACGGTGGTCGAAAACCTGAAAATGTCCCAGTTCCTCCGGTCGAATTGGCCATCCCTCGCAGCCCTAGAACAAAACAGCTCACAAGATAGTCTGATACACATATTATTTGAGAGATAGTGGCGTCTTTTTGGAACCTTGGTCGGTACAAATCACTGTTCACAGTTTCGTAGTTGGCGCAAGGTCTATAGCGTTCCAACTTAGCTCATATTAGCATTCAGGCTCATTCCAGCAACCCAGTGTTTTAATTGGTTTTCGATACAGGTCTGTCGACCTCTCTTGGTGCCCTGACATCCGGACTTGGAAACGGTGGGTGGGTAGAAAAAAAGTAAGAATATAGACGAATGAAATTCACTTGAAGACAAGCCCAAGTCCACAGAACCCGAGGTTGATACTGAAGAACGAAGGCCTATTTTCCGAAGGGAAATAAACGCCTGTCCACTACGAGGGCCATTTCAGCCTTTGTTAAAATGCGTTGGATCGAATGGAGCGCACGATGTATTAACACCTCCAAAACGAATATGTCGAACCTATGCAAGAGACTGTTGAGATGATGCAAACAAGCTGCAGCATGAAAACCTGTTATGCGATATCATGTCCACAGAACACGCGAAACGTAACCCAGAATTAACAGAACAGTAGTTTTAAAAATCCTAGAATGTTAAGATGACACACATGGAGTAGAATACTGGCTTACGTTGTCCTTCCTGATAGTGGTTACATTACTGAAGAAAAAAATGCTTTGAACTTCATTGTGAGAACCCAGAAGGTAGGCGCAGAAGGCTGAGGTTTTCTAGGCGGTATTAAACGAATGGTCAATGATAAACCATCTATTCCTTATTGTGACGGCACACTACGGAACAGCTGTAGTCGGAAGTTCATTCAGAATAATGGCCGTGTAGCGATCTCCTCTGAACGGGATGGGCATTAAGTTGTGTGGCTGCGTGTTCGTGGGTAGAACTTTCAAGGCCGCGCGCGAGTATATTCCCGACCCCGAAAATCGATAAGTGCCGTGCTGCTATGACCTCATATTGTCAAAGTTTGATGCTGTCTGTAGCCAATTCACACTTTACATCCTCATAAGATATCCGATTTTTCCTTTTCCTGTTCAGACTGCCTATCGCACTACCTACGTCACGCAATGGGATTTTTGAAGACACCAGGCACACTTTGCGCCAAAATTTGGCAGCTATGACCTAAACCAATAATTTCGCACAGAAAGCGCTAAAATCGAGATGATCCACGCAGGTGGGCGTAGAGAGTCGCTGATGTGGTTGTGGAAACTGATTTACGCAACCTAAAATCTCCGACACCGCAATCGAAGTGCGCGATCCGGTTCTTGTTTAGCACCAACATGCCAGTAAAGCAGTAGATAAACGATATCAGTACACATAAGGGAAGCATATCGACCGGCATTAAGCGCAATTACGAAACGATCTAGGTTGCAAATCCAGCGCAAGCACTGCTGAGATGATCCCATCATACAGACCGACGCGTAAGTGAGCACAAAGTTCAACTGAAGCTAACACATACGGACTTTTCACGGTAGACCGAAAAGGTGCGGGAACAGCGAAAACTCCACGTGAACAATCACCTCCACGGGTCTAGTGCCGTTCATCTCCCGCCAAAGATCAGATTTCTGACCTGCGCCAGCGTGTGGCATGACACTTCACTTGTGCAGCACACCAGCCTGTTTCGTTTAATTGGTTCCGTTATATCATACCGACCAAGAGATAACTGAAAACACGTGTTTGCCGAGCGTATATATTTCCAAATTTCAGTGTAAAAGTATTTCAGCACCTCACCTACTCATTGAAGGTTTTGCTCAACCACGAAATCATTCAGTGAGGGATCTGACCTGATTCACGGTACGACTGCATCAAGGCTTTGACCTCTTTTGGACAGCAATCCAATTCCTCAAATAATTTAAAACCGACTACAGTGACCTAGATCAAGCAAGCGACAGCGTGTTTGTTCGTGCATAAGGTCAATTGATGGCTTGACTCGTGTCCCACTTGTCATACCACATTGTCCGTAAATGAAACCATGGCGACTGAACCCGATTTACCAGTAGCAAACAAGTTGACGCAAAAACCCAAAGCCGCGAGTTTCCCATCACAGATAAGTCATGAGAACGGACCATCGCATTGGGCTAAATCCACTTTTCCAGAACTTACTCCCCTGATAAGAGCGATCGACCTAAGAGGATAGACTTAAAAAGACTATTCCAACTGCCCTCGAGCAAGCGAATACTCTATGCGGAACACAACTGTCCAAAGCATAGGTGACAGAATAACATCGGTGATCGAGAGAACTCGATAATCCGCACCTGCCACACGCCTATATTTGTATCCTTGAGCTGCCGCGATTGATAGCTTTAACAATAAACTTAATTCCAATCAATCTGACTGTTCCCGAAAAATCGCTGACCTGGATATCAGTAACATCATCTCCAACCGACATCTCCCTAGCCAGGATTTGAAAAAAGTCCGCTAGTAATCCACATGCTACGCTATGCCACTTAAACGAAACAGTGCTGGGAATGAAAAAAGGAACTGTAAGGTGCTGGTAAACCCAAATGCGCCCCTCGTGATGAGAATTTGTTAACGTACGATGAAGTACTACTCATGGAGAACACATGATACAAAGACGATTTTGGTAGCTTGCATCATTCAGCTGGTACCTACTTCACTCGTTTAACTTAAGCAGCAATGGATCATGTGATTTCATCAACAATCGAAAGCTTAATCGAAAGCTTATACAGTCCCAGAGATCCACATTTGGAATCCGAAGAGGTTTGTGATACTCTTATGGGAAACAGAAGCATTCTTTACCAAGTAGACCAACCAATGGCACTTCACTGGTCTTTGTTTTTTCTTAATCCGAATAGATGACCACATTTGTGCTGCCAGTAGCAACAGCAGCAATCAACCTTCCAACCGAGCACCTCAAAGCACAGCAAAAGGAATCGAAATAAACTGCTAGCGAACAATTATGAATCTCAAGGGACGTGTGTATCAAACTACGATACAGGCTGTTTTGTTTTGTGGCTATGAGACTTGGTCTATTCGAGCAGCGGAAGTGAGACGTCTTCAGATTTTCGACAATTGTTGTCGGCGTATCTGTAACAAGCCAATTAGAAAGCGAGTTTTCGGTTGTGCAGCGGGTGATCCCCCTGAAGAATGTGCCCAGCACCAAAAGATGCGTTGGTTGAGATATGTGTTTTAACCATCACTTGCCGAAGAGAGTGCTGTTTTCCATGTCCAACACAGAGTGACGTAAGCAGAGAGGTGGCCAACCCTTGACTTGGCAGAGGGATATAAAGGAGATCACGAAACGTTTGGGTACTGTCGGTGCTACTCGCCTTCCAGGATGCGGACCGCGTGATCCTTACTGTGCCTGGTTGGAGACACAAGATATGGCTACCAACCGATGTCAGGGACGTTCTCGCTGTCAGTTTCTATCCAGATTGCCCGAATGAGTGTTTGGAGGTGCAGGCACCTCGGAATAAATGTAGTAAGCTAGCAACAAGTCCGTTCCCCGTCCGCCCTTCTTTTCTTTACAATAAGGCTTTCAAATAAGTCATGGTTGTACGGCAGTGAAGCATCAGTGTAGAACACTAATGCCATGTGGTCGATCGGTATGATGATGATGACATTTCTGAGGTGGTGAAACAGTTCCTAGTCTATGCTCACGCAGCTAAAAAGACGAAGCTGATTACGCTGAACCCCATAACCTATATGTCAACTTGTGGATTAAGTGAACGATAAGTAATTCCCAAGAAAACCACCTCTGATGTGCAAGAACAACAAAATGAAGGCAAGCGGCAGAGTCCCAACAAGCAAAGCGACCTGCTCACTATGGAAGGATTAGGTGGGTTTCGCACTCGAACATACGCTGTCAGTTCTATCCAGATTGCCCGAATGAGTGTTTGGAGGTGCAGGCACCTCGGAATAAATGTAGTAAGCTAGCAACAAGTCCGTTCCCCGTCCGCCCTTCTTTTCTTTACAATAAGGCTTTCAAATAAGTCATGGTTGTACGGCAGTGAAGCATCAGTGTAGAACACTAATGCCATGTGGTCGATCGGTATGATGATGATGACATTTCTGAGGTGGTGAAACAGTTCCTAGTCTATGCTCACGCAGCTAAAAAGACGAAGCTGATTACGCTGAACCCCATAACCTATATGTCAACTTGTGGATTAAGTGAACGATAAGTAATTCCCAAGAAAACCACCTCTGATGTGCAAGAACAACAAAATGAAGGCAAGCGGCAGAGTCCCAACAAGCAAAGCGACCTGCTCACTATGGAAGGATTAGGTGGGTTTCGCACTCGAACATAAAGCACGTCAACGGGAGTTATACCTCTTGCTAAATCATATGCTCCTGTCTAAAACGTTACATGATGATTACCTCAACGTTTGCACTACCCTGAATTTTGCACAGAAGCAAAACTTTCCGGTGAACGATAGCTCGGCAGTTGGAGCATATAATCGAACTTGCAAAAAAGTATCGCTTCAATGCATCGAAATCCACAGACACAGAAAAGATCCTGAAGAATGTTGGCGTGTTTGAATGAAGGGAGTGATGGAATTATGCTGGTTTCTAGATTCATTGGATAAATTCAACCGAAAATAATTCGAAATGAGGACCCTTGGAAGATAGCTGGTTGAGTAGCCATCCGAGTTGCAGACTACAATGCGGTAATATGAAACTGAAGGAGAGGAAAAGACAAGAGGATACTGCTCTTGATGTGTTCTGCGCAATCCGGTTGTAAACCTCTTGATCTTAATCGAAGTGACACAATCGGTGTGTAGTAGAGTGGCGGTAACTTCGAAATGATACACCAGGTATCATTCATATAAATCGATACACAAGTATTTGAGAGTGAAAATAACTTAACATATTCCAACCTGTGGACTGAAGGTTATTGAAAAGGGGTTTGACGTACTGAGCGTGTTTCTGATGATGGCATCTATTAACGGCTCAAACTTGGTCCAACGTTGCACAATCAAAGTATGACAATCTCCCAAGGACCGACGACCTGACCGCGCGTCTTGTTTGCATTTCTGAAGGGGGTTGGCAAGGAAAGAAGGCACAAAGTGGTCATTGATCTGAAAACGCGAATGCTAACCATCAGTTAACCATGTGGAAATAGGATATCAAAGGGGGGTCCATTCCTTTCGTTGCAAAAAAACAGCATAAAATCAGCTGGAAACCATTTGCACGTGGGGCTATTTAACGAGCGTTTGGAAAGATCTGTGCCCAGATAAATTCCTCGTAGCTGGTTGTGTTAAAAAAGGCAATCGGAACAGAGCGAAGGCAAATGTTGTGTACCGAATGTGCAAGAAGCTAGGTAGCCTGTGGCGCTAGCCAGATAACGTTTGATTTACTGTCCAAATTCCATCAGAGACAGGGAGGCTTGGAGTCGATTAACACGCGTACAAACGAACAAAGGCACATAACAGGGATTGTACCAACATGAGCGATTACAGCGCATCCCAGGCGGAACGTCTTACAGGTTTCGGGATATGCACTCTGTCCCATATAGAAAAAGGGCGACTAAAACAACACGGTCCGACTCACGAACACAAAAACAGAGAGTGAGCTGGAACCCACACTACAAAGATAACAGCACAAGAGGAATCAGCTTACTATGATTCAGTTTGGAAAGACGTACAAAATACGAAAATCTTCCAATTATTAGGCGCACAAGATATGCACAGTAATCGACTTACACTGCAATCTCCATCTAGCACAGTGATATGACTGTGCACCTCAGTACGAAAAGACGGTCCGATGACCTCTCCCTAATGCGACCAAATTTGTTCTTGTATATCGTGGTAGACAGGATGGATTGCATAACGGATAGCCTTGTAAATGGGGGAGATGAGGATGCTTGCAGTCCGGAAAGTCAAATTCTACGCCCCAGAGATCCCCATCAGTGTAACGCACTGTATTAAGCGAATCAAGGGATTGATTGGGAACAGGTGTTTCTTCATACGAAAGTGTCTCGGATGGGTAGGGTGAACCGTCAGTTTCAAGTCAGAGCTTTCCACCAGGGATGAAGATAACGCCACGACTGACTACACCACCATCTGTTTCGCCTAATAACCCTAACAAACAATAGCACTGGAAATCGACGGTTCATGGTCCCATAGCTGGCTAATAGCAGAAGCATAGGGTGGACAGCTGATAAGCCGCTGAAACACACGGTGAGTCAGCGTTGTAACGCCCAGCGAAATGACTATCGGTATCTAAGCCGAATCACATTAATAACAGACCATAGAAACGGGTAGTGGAAGGAGGGTGGAATGTAACTCGTGCATGTCGTTGTTATCATTAGCCTACTAAATTGCTGTTGTCGTTCCAAACTAACTAAAGTGCGGCAATACTGGTTGATCTAACACCTTAAATAGAAATGTTACCCTGACGTGGAACATGAGCTGAGCATTGATGATACGGGAAACTTACTTCAAAAAATGCGGCAACAGGAGGCCAACGGTTGCAAACGACCAGCTGTTCCCTTATCCGTCGCTGAGCGAACATAAATCCACCATAGAGTCGAGCCAATGAATCCTGAGTGGTTTTGTCAAACTGCGGAGAAGGAGTGAACAGAAGACAGTAAAACGATGGGTAGAATACTGCTACAAGAATAAGAAGTCGAAATGATATCCTACCAAAAGATAAATGAGCCACAGAAGTTTGGATGCGTAAGAATCGTACACCTGTAGCACCCTTTCGGTGTCAAACTGCCATGCCATCCGAAGGAAGCACGAGGGCTGGGATACTGCCAGGTTTCCCAAGCCTAGGCAGGGGAAGTCGAGAGGCAGAGGTCGGGTTCGAACCACGAACCTTTCGACCAGTAAATTCGCGCTATAACCACCTGAACCATCTCGCCCCCGTTTGGATGCCATAACAATGGAATACACAGAACAAACTATGGTCAGCGCATGAAAAAATAACCACACAAGGAGTGCTAAGGAAGAAGACAACAACCCACAATTGTGGACAGTGATTCCCTAATAAAGTGCCCCTCCCCAAGGGATGACTCTTCTAAGGATTTGCCAACAGCTTTCCTCGTCAAAGGCGACCATGTGTGCAACTCGCTAAGAGATACCAGAAAGATTTTCCACGCGCGGGTTCCTCTGACTTCATCAAACGCAAAAGGATATAACAATACTTTCATTAGGTCCATTGATGCCATCAAGTCCCACTAACCGAGCATAAATAGTTTATATATCATAAAGCGTACGGATGCTATGTAATTCTACTTGGTCAATAACTTGTCGCTCGTCTACCTAGTGTCAGCATTTCGGACAGTACGATGAGTGGAATGTGTTAAGTAACCTCCATCTGTGCGAACTAAGTCGTGATAGGTTGCTCAACTGTTCTTTAGGTCCTCTGACCGCGCTTTACTGTGACTCAAGACAAGGTTTGGGGTGGGAAACATAACGGGAGGAGAGCGCCACCCACAAGGCAGAATCAAAAAAAAAACTAACAAACGCAACTTAATATTTAGTACATAAAAACGGGCAATCTGAGTGTACATGGAATTGGGACACTGTACAAGTGTTACATTCTTATTGGGAATCACTAGCACTGCGCATCCCACGAGCCTCAAGGGCAACTCGAACCTGAGACCTTACCGCTACTGGTGTAGGACCAAAACGTACGGCCATAAGCGGTTGGGAAGCAGAGTAACTCGCACATAGACAGGAATTTTGGATCTCATACGATCAACCAACTACAAGTGACTCGGAACGAAGAATAGGCGACCTGACGTGTAAGCTTTTTATCTTAGTTGTAAATCATGGGATTACTTAATACGTGACGACTACAGGATGTGGACTACCTGAGCTAAGGAGTACTTGAGTCAATCACAATGGTGGTCAGCCACTCATGGGGAAACGGTTTAGACCTCGACTGCTAGCCAGGAGGTCGCGGGAAGGAATCACCAAGGTGGTCAGTGAGGTGCGCAGTGCTCATCAGCATAGATTGATTTCACTAACAGGATAAAATCTCGACCGAAATTTCCTAGTCTTATCACAATGTGAACAAAAGTGAAACAGTTGTGGGCGGAAAGCTGTTGAAAAATTCACAAAATTTCATACATATAATTAGCCAATCTTGGCAAGTTGTTCAGAAAATTATACGTCTGTGTTCGTTCAAAATCTCTTCGAATAGGTATCACAGACCCATGCTTCCAAAGGTGGCTTTCTTCGGTTGCATTGTAACACGAAATAAACACAAACACTTGAAACCCGCAGTGTTGATCCTAACAGCAGATAGGGAGAAAATTAACAACAGGCAACTACCGCCTAATCTGCCTTCCATCGTGATTCCGACAAAAAAGAGGAAGAAAAAGGGGGAGGGCTAGTTCTAATAAAGCAGAACTCAGCAGTTTGGTGCACCCGTTAAACCTACTGATGGATCTGTTCAGAAATGCACGAGGAAAGGTTGAACTCGCGTATGGCATCAACAAAAATCAGACATCAGCGAAAGCCATGCTACTTAGGGATGTTTAAATCTCCAAAACCGATAACCACTTAATTAACTTACATTCAGCGATGGGTAGAAAGTACAAGGAAAGATGCGACTATGGGTGAAATTAGTAACTTATTGTAGGTTGGCAAATGAGAACGTAGGAGAGTAAGGAAAGCATGCAAACGTGACCAATGCCTCTGCTATTGAATTTTTGTAAAGCTTAGCTCAGTGACTTCGTGGAACACAACACAAGCTGCATTCGAATCCATGGATGAGCACTTCTCACATCGGAGGATAGCGGTTGGTGAAAAAAACATTCGTGTTTGGTGGACTCAGTGTGACGAGTGCGTGTCTGTGGTTCGCAAATTAGACTGATGGGTCGCAGAAAATGAAAGTCTAAGTCACTATAAAGAGAGCAAGTTTGAATCTCGGAGAATTCGAGTGAAAAAGTTTTGAGCTCCAGTTACAGTGCTGTAGGTTGCGTGACAGTCAGAATGATAGGCAGACAACTGCAGTGGCAAACGCTTGAATGAGGCCCACACATCAGGATTATCAAAACGTCCCTAAAAACACCATATTCTTTATTCAAGTGTTTTGTAAAGGCCCTTCACGACTGCCAGTAGTAATCAATAGATTACATTCTAAGCCCGCTTGGTACGACAGGTACACAATCAATTTATCAATTTCTTAAGCGGCTAGAAGAAACGTTTATTAAATGCTTGGCTAGATTTCTTTAACAGCTATAGTAGCTTCAGTACGTACGGTTCTAAGTAACTGAGTTAGGAATGATGAAAAATCATCCCATCAATGCGGTCGTCCCTTCCAACCTGCTACGCATCGGATGGCTTCGTCCAGCCATGGATACCCCAATAAGCATGCCCTCAAAACTCAGAAGGGCATCTCGTAGCTTGAGCATCCCGTCTCTTACCAAGATACAGGGGCTGCGGTTGGCATCAGCTGGGCCGCCTAAATCTTAAGCACTTGAATGCTGAATTCGCCATGACTATTCGCTCTGGTGTTACTGAACCGACGAAAACAAATCTTAGTATGCACCGTCTTCATAATCCGACTTTCGGTCAACCGTTCTTTCTCGTGTTTGTTTTCTTTGTGAGTTACCACAATTGCTCGATGATTCTCACAGTGGAGCATAGTGAATTCACAAGGAGACAACCATTGTTCTTCAATAACAAAAATGTCCCTCTCGACCCACTTGAGCCACGAAGTGAGTGTACCCCTGTATTAATCAAACGAATCCATGTTAATATAACGTATGCATGCACCCGCCATGCATTCTGAGTTGCATTTAGAACACTTACTCGTTCAGTGAAAACACAGTACACCCTAAATTAATGATTAATATTCATTTTTTTTGTTAAAAATGCTCACTCTGGGGGACAGACTCAGGAGTGAACATTATCACTAATGAAAAAAATATGTATTCCGAAGAATGGACTAGGCACCGCATGCAGTCCAAAGTAGACATTCCTGAATGTAGTGCCTATGTCGAACTAGGGTAAAAAACATACAATCCCTGTTAAAGTCCGCAGCTTAAGCGCATATTCAACGAGGGAGGTAGAGTGTGTATGCGATGGGCTGGATTAATCTGTATCGTGTAAAAACAAGAAGTACGACGTCACTGTGCTGGTATTAGTCGATCCGAACGGCTGACTAAACACCAACAACTCGGATGGCTTACGCCCGTTGTTGCCGCTCACAACTCGACAAACTCAGAGCAACACTTGCCCTGCATTGACGTTATTGCCAAATCACTGTTGGCTCTAATGTTAAATATCCGGGTCTGAAGACTGTCTACGGCTTATACCCCTGGAACTAGAATTAGAGCGATATCTGCGAAATCTTCTCTATCAACCTTCAAACATGAGTAGCTAGGGTCCGAAACATACCTAAGTAGATAGCTCACGAAGAGGGAAGTGACTAATTATAAATGACTGCTACAGAATAAGCTTAGGGTAAAGTTATGGGAGGGGTCGAAATATTGTCTGTCATGACCACTGACTTGACTGGGTTTGGTCATTTCCTTAAACCCGCTAACTATGGAGGTATGTTGAACCCGGTTCAATCGTGAATGATGTTGTGTTCCAGTGTGGTCAATACACTTACAGACTGCACGGCCGCTCCAATGATCATGCAGAAGTCCATTTCAATTACATACGAAACGAGCTGATGCGGTACAAACACCGTAGTGAGCAACCATCGGTACAATAATCTATGTTACCTGGTTTGTTCGTTTCAGGGTAAGTTTTTACCAAACAGTCACAGCATGAAAGCCACCAAGTAAATGTTCTTCAAGAGGTTGGGTCGAACGAACACCGCTGTGCATAAAAACTTTTCTATTTCATCTCTGTTCAGTTTACCATCTGAACAGTCTGATGATATGACGTCATTGTTCGATTATACCAAAATGTAAACTGATCAAACTGGCGCCGATGTGGTGCAAACAATAGTACACGGAGCAATAATTAGAAATGTGAGAAACTCTAGTGATGACAGGCAGAATAAATTCGTTTCCAACTGTCCGAGTGTACAACATTATTTCGTTTCCTTATAGATTGGCCAATTTGTTCTAAGTGTATATCATAAGGAAAGTGATTCAACAAGAAGAGGCCACATACTATCACTGATGCATTCCAGACAGACTGGATGTGTGACCTTTTCAAACAGTTTTATCTCTCAATTGGAAAATGTTTGGGACCGATTAGGAAGTCATCGTTTCAGAGGGGTTTGGTAAACAATCGGTGGATTTATTGCTGGGCAACGTTTCGCTTTTGAAAGAAAAGCTTCGTCAGGCCAAGTGAGTAAGTAAGTAGGTTGATTGGGTTTTAAGGCAGTCAGGGAACCAATCCGTGAGATTCCTTATGACTAGTGACGTGATCAGTGCTGGGTGTTCAATCTGATGTCCCTGTTTGTTGATTAGTTTTATCTCTGCTCAGGAAAACCCGTTCGTATAAACTCTCCACAGCACTATATGGTCAAAAATAGATTGGTTTGACATATTTCAATAGAGATTTCATCATGTAAGTGAAGTCAATCTAGACTGAAAAACCGAGAACCACTATACAGTTGTTTCATCTTTATTGAGAATTATCAGCAGGGTACATCTCGCCAAACTCAGAAAGCCTCGAACCCATGACCTCCTGGTTAGTAGTTGGATGACAGCCGTGAGGCCACGAGCGACTGATCAGCAGTACGACTAACTCACACTTGGGATACAGCGCCGCTCATCCATCAATCACGGGATCTACATCACTTATTGACTGGTTCCTTGAGTGGTGGAGGGTTCAATCGCTGAGAATTATTATCCCTTCCGACTTTACTTAGAGTTTTTGAGCAGCGCGTGGAGATATGGGCATTTTCAATGGATATTCCGTCCTGGTTATGGAGTTAATCTATGTCGAGTGTCACCGGTTCGAGACTGCCTGGAGTACGTGAGATGCGCACTGCCGATGATTCTCAAAAAAGGATGAAACAGCTGTAAAGTGCTTCTCGGCATTTCAGCATAGATTGCTTGCACTAAGAGGACGAAATCCCATTACGACCCCCAACCTCACACTATCAACAACGGCTTAACGAAGCCCGAAACACCGTGAACAAGTAAGGAACCGAAAACCGGCTGCCACATTCAAACACGTATTCCAGATGTAAGGGTCAACAAAGAGCCAGCGAAACACAATATTGAACAGCTTAACGTTCTTCACGAAAAAAAAGATACCACAGCAGCTAAAAAACTAGTCTACTGCAGCAACCCGAACTTTCCTGGAAGCCACTTAAACTCGGGTTGGACGAAAGCAACCAAAGACAGATAAGGATAGATATAGAACAAAAAGGACTAAACAAATTAACTCTGCCTTATTCTACGTGCCATTCATACTAAGCACATGGAAAACCACACATCAGACAAACACACACACACACAAACACATCACACAGCAACCTAGACGGAATAGACCTCTACTGCTTTCCACCAGTTTGAAATCTACGAGTAAAAGCATATAGAGGTATCAGTTGTCGTAGGTGAGCTATAGAAAGAAGACCGAAAGGAAACCTTCACCTCAAAGCACCTTGACTGTGTTTTAGATCAAACTCACCAGCTGCGCAAGACAGGGCCCCAAGTGCTTGATCACCTTGTCCTCAGCCTGATCGTGCAAGGCGAGCAACGGTCGGAGGATCCGCTCATGAGCTTTGATCAATTTATCCAAACCAGGGAAGAGAGCCTCACGTAATTTTGCCCTTGTCATCCCCTCAGAAGCGGCATCGTATTGGCTCGGCTCGAAATCAGGAAACGGGAGCATGTATACGTCACGAACCATTAGCAACATATCCACGTAGCCACGTTCGGAGAATATCAGTTCTGTGGATGAGGGGGGAAATCAAGAAATACAATATGGACGGAGGGTGTCATTTGGCTCATATATGCGGACTCCCGCCCAAGTGTTGTTGATTTTGGAAATGGGCTTCCCAGTTAGATTCATCACAAAACTCTATCAGTGTGGCAAAGTGACCTCAGTGGGGAAAAACAACCGTTCAATCTTTTACCCAACTTGGTTTTCTAATTCTCTGTTATCGAGAATTACGCACTATGTGTCTCCTTTCGGTGCCCGGTAGCCAAGGTGCTTGGTGCCCAGGGGCAGCAAGAGGACTGAAACACTGCCAGGAACAGTAGAGCTGCAGATTTTGGAACGGAACCACCGGCTCTAAAGTTAGAAAGTTCGCCCCTTTTCTACGGATCTATTTCGAGTACTACGGCTCAGTCACAATAAGGTGGCTGTTCCGAAAAATTGAGTGAAAGGTCCAGTAAATCACTCAGCCTACGCCGCATATCACCAACGGTTGACGAAGGACGGGACAATCAGCGTTATACACCATATACTGCATTGTCGATTAGGGTGGTAAGCGGGCGGCAGAGTAAAAACGAGTTGATTTGCCACAAGCGAATCTAGGGACCAGATTACTGTCCTGCCACACTTATAGCCCGGATCTCAAAACTTTGGTATTTCCCTTGTATGCATGATGGTAATTCAGTTTGTGCAGATGGTTGTCAGTTTTGGTCCATTGGTGACTAAAATTAGGAATGTTTTCTATGGTCATTGAAGAATAATGGTGCAGTTATATGATGCAGTGCATATGGTTCCTCATATGAGGCAAGTGAGTTGTAATGACAAGTTGTTTCATACAATTTGAACCTGGACACGATGAGTCTGGAGAAACACGCAGAAAAGTGACCGGTTTACACAACTGCTCCCTAACTTTTGAGATAGTTCACAAAATGAGTGGATAAAGAACGGCAATGGCCAGGACTGGACGTAGACATTATTCGTAGACATGGAGCCAGACTGTATATATTGTGCGAAACATTGTTGCGGACTGCATTGAACTTAGGTTATTCGAACTGCTGACATGCGCAGGTCAGGGCAGGTGTTCGCCGAATTTGTGACATACTTTGGTTTGGTTCGTGCAGACATTTTAAAATAAAATACTAACAGCATAAGGAGCACCGAACGCTAGTCGGATCACTTCACTAGTTCATTCGATAACTACCCCCGAGTTGGTGAGGTTCCAACGTCACAATTACAGTGCTTTCCGATTAGCCCTCTTTGATGAGTCAAGCACTTGAAATGAACAACAATGCAGTCACCTAAAGGATAGCACAGGAATATCTGTATCAGCCATAGATAGAAAATCACGTGTTTAGGATATGGATCAACAAAAACGGTTGCTGGATCGAACAGTCTGCTGAAAGATATTTTGGTTAATTTGTCTGGATGGGATACCAAGAAAACTAGTGGTTCACCTGAAACTAAGTATGGCTATACGAACCAGAAGTTGTTCAGGTCCGGACAACGGGTAACTTGAGTATGGGGCGGCTCGCAGTTGAGGGGTGGGAGTGCACCATAAGTGTTCCGAGATCTTCAGCGTTCAAAACACACAACGACGAAGACAGCCGTTTGCTGACTTAAATTAAGATACGGCGAGCCTCGGAGCAACATTTTGGAGCTATAAATAGCAAAAAGCGATCCTCAGTGATGGAAAAATTATGACGTGTGGGGTCTACGGTGATGGTCGGCATGGGAGGGGAGGAGAAAATTAAGGTGAAGGAGCCTTTAGGGTTTGTGATTCCACTTCTTGTGGTAGATAAGCGTAACGTGTTTATACGCAATGAGAAAATTATGACTGCTTCTTACATCGGAACGCTTAAGTTTTTCCGTGGACAGCAGTTTCGAAAAACACTAGTTGAACGCTTAAGATACTTGATTGCTAGACTGTACAGCACATCCGCCAACATATGTGAGGCAAGATGACAATGCCAGAAAGACCGAAGTATGCTCTCTTCTGTAGATTTGTTGTACAGAGGAGTGGTGGATGTGTTGTTAGAGCTGCAGGCGAAAGGTTTGCATGTTGTACTGTGCTAAATCGCTACACTGTGGTGACTGTGGTTAACAGTGGGTATCGCATCTCACAGAAATATGCTGACTTTTGCGTTAAGACCGGACCTTGTAGTTCAGTATCACACCCTATCGATACACGACAATATGCTTTGGGATTTCCTTGCACATGAAAACAGACTCAGTGGAAAGCTGCGTGTTGAAACGCAACTATGCAAAAACACGGAGTGAACGACGAAAGGAAAGGTAGAGCATACATTTGTTTGGGGTTCAGCAGCTTTAAAAAATACACGTCCCTTTCTTGAGGGGTGTGAAGAAAAAAGAATCTATAATTTGGGAGTAGGGCCAACGAGGTTGTAAAACTTGATGTTTTCTTATCTTGTGCAAACAAAGATACCATTCGATCAAAATGGTGTTTATACTGATGTATATACGTGTGCGCATGTAACAAGCCAATAGGCGATAGAATACCCCGTGAAACAAGGAGAGCGAGATGCATGGTTTGACAACAACAAACTGACGGACAGATTAGGCGGTGCATAACCAGTTCTAGTGATCTGATAGTGGGGAACTGAAAATAAATCGACCACCCAACGGTATACGTTGAGCTGACAGTTAGACAACTTCACACACCCTCTAACGGAATGTATGAGCGCGATTCCAGATGGCATACCTGGAGATAAGCGACATCCACAGAAACGGGTGGATTACGGTTGCATCCGACGGAGATTGCGGAGTGGCCGGCTGTGTGACTTTGCAATGAGTACAGTTCTAGTATCACGATCATGAGAAGACCTTTCCGAGAAATAAGTGGCAATTTGTCAGACGTATTCACGCAGTCTCATGTGACTTCTTTATTTCCACATTCGTGTGAGAGAGGAGGACAAAACTATATCGATCGTGGTAGGTGAAATTAACTACGGCAATCGGTGCACGGTAAAACATCCTGGAGCCACAAATGTCAAAATGAAGACAAGAATCATCATCGACATCTATAAACCAGTATTAAGTACTGGTGCTTAACTACCATACAACAATGAGGGAAAAACTTAGTAACGTGAAAAGGGAAAGGAAGGATAGGGACTTAGCGCGAAGGAGTATTATGTGTTTAAGGACGAGCTGCCTAAACCCTTGGACAGCATTAAAATAAAAGTAGATGGGTATCATACCTGAGTAAGGCATCGTCAGCAGGATCAATCCAGCGTCTTTTGTGAACCTCACCCAACCCAAGCCCAGCGCAGAACGACAGGCGGAATTTAGATGGGTAGTTCTTCCGGGAAATGAACGCATGCGCGTCACTGGTCACATTCTACGTCTTGTTGGGTTTCTAACCACGTGCAAGAAGACCCACACGGACCCTAACCAGAAAAGCTAGAACATTGTACAGTGCTGAGTTCGACTGAACCGGTCTTCTTTTCGCGTCCCCGGGGACCTTTCTGCAAAAATTGTTTGGAGTTGATAACAATGCTTCGATTGCTAGATGGTGGCTGCGCATGTGCTAAACACGTCCCAACCATATTAACCTGATGAGTAGCACTTGCAGCTTTAGTGGTGCTGACGTATCACCAAGCACTCATTTACGTAACACCACATAGCAAACACAGCGCAGTCGGATAACTCCCGTGACACTGTGTAGGCACCGATAATCAGACGTTTGAGTTCTTTTATGGTTCCCGGAGTAGAGCGGTCATGTTTCACAATCGTTAGTCACCTTGTCCATTAGGCACCCCAGCTTCAGGGAAATCCGTTTCTGATACCTCCTTTATAATGCATGCATTGACCACTCTGCCAAGGTACGGTCGTGGCTTATGAAAATGCGGACTGCTGGTCGTCAAATAACAAGAAAATGTCGTGCACATTGTCCAAATCTATCAGTTTTTCTCTAGATGTACTTCCAATACCAAGAGTGCATTAAACTGTACATTCCATGATACTATCCATGGCGAAATTGAACACGAAGGAAGAGAGAGAGAGAGAGCAGTCTTGCTGAAACCCTCCAGGCAAACTTCTGGACAGTTCGTCGTAAACTCTTACACGACTGGAAGTATGAGCCGAGAGAAGCTGTGATCCTTGCACCTCCTACCCGTATAAAAACCATACCTGCTTCCCGATTGGTCTCCCATCTGTGAGGGCTAAGCGCAACAATATCATTGAAGCTGGCAAATGCGCTATGACAAGCGTCAGGTTGATACTTCCTTGGTTGGAAGTCACTTCGTATGCCTTTTTTAAATAAACGTACGACGATTATTTGGCTCCATTTGTATGGAGGGCGTTGTTGTTCCCAAATAAGTTCAAACAATCTAGTTAGGAGAGGACACACTGTCCTTAAGCAGTGCTGGTGGAAGCCCAGCTGATTTGATAGCCTGCTGATGTTTCAAGGTGGAGGCACACCAGTATTCTGGCAACTGAGGGAGGATCTAGACTCAATGAAGAACAACTCAAGCGGGTAAAATGAATAAATATTCTGCCTAGCAATCTGAACAGTGGTTTTATTATACACTGCATTTCCAATATGATACTGGCTTAGGTCACTACCAGAAGGCCTCCAATGTGCCCAAGCACAGCCCAAACCCGGCACAGAGCTACGATAGATGTTCATGATCACACTGCACAGGTTGCGTTGGTTTGGCCACGTGCTGCATATGCCAGTCGACCGACTTCCTCGAAGGGCTCTTTTTGCCCAACCATGTGAAGGGTGGAAGAGAGCCAGAGGCGGTCAAACAATGACTTGGCAGCGAAGTATGAAGGCCATTACCAGCAAACTCAGCTGCGCTGGTCACTGCCGTCTTCCTGGATGGGGACCCCGAGACGGGCTACATCAATGGCTGGAGACATTATCAGACATGGCCCAGTCGCGCCCTTAGTGGCGCTCGTGCATCCAAGCTATTGCCTTCAATGCATAGCTCCTTTTGCAACCCCCCCGCTTGACAACCCACTGACAGTGCTGGATTTATGCACCAATTTACCAGCTCGCGGGTGCAATGCGCAGCTACCTACCCCCCCCAATTATCGGTGAACGAAACTGTGGCAGCTACAACCAGTGTACGGCGAGCACGCGGTTCTTACAGCTGACAATGATGATGATGATGATTATTATCGTTGCGCCTTGGGTCTAAACTAAACCTTACACCACATCGTGCTTCGCATGAATTGAGGCGTTCTACTTGCGCAGTGAAACATCATGCGCTTAGGACCGTTTCTGAGCTATTTATGGTGGATAACAGAGCGGTTATTCTTCATTAAAATGTATAAACGCCATATTTGAATGGTGCTAAAGTATCATCTATAAATGAAGGGCTGTTGGTATTTGACCGGTGCGAGTCCTTATGAAGGTGGACGGGTGAACAGTACAGAGGCACTGTCCACAAGCGTCCAATCAAGGAAGGAAGAATCAGTTTGGGAACTCTGCATTATTTTAATACTAGTGCAAATAAACTGCGGCAGCTGAAGAATCACTTGAAGTCATCAATTGATATGCCAAGACAGAGAACTTGCCACAAGCTCGATTACTGTACCTGGATCTTGCGTCCGGATTTCAGAAACGCAGCGAATGCCCATCGATAAAACATCGAGGGCGCGCCAGAAGACAGTTGGCGAGCTTGCTCGGTGGTTTGAATAAAGACTGCAGTAAAACACGAGGGAGTCGCGTCTGATTGGTAAAAATAGAGTGGCAAATGTGAGCAGTAGTGTGCGGTCGGTCACAGGATGTCACATGGGCATCCTCCAGCATCGTGCAATGAGTTGCTGTGGTGCGCAGAATGTCGTACCACGATAGGGTCCAGCCACTTCGTGACATACAAGGAAGAGGTTCAATTAACTAGAAAGAGAAGTTGCTACTCGAGGGGCCAGCCAATACATGAGCACCTTATTAGGATTCCGTGGTAGAAGGATAGGTGGCGCGCTATAAAGTGTCTAAGTGAGAGTTAATCACAGTTCTGATCAACAGCTCATGTCCAAACGGTTAGTGTTCAAGTTACTCGGCGGGAGGCCGAAGTTTCCAAACTCCTTTTGGTTTCGTAAGATTCGCATTGGTGATGATTCCAAATAAAGGTGAAACAACTGTGCAATGCTTGTTGGCTTTTCACTACCGATCGGATTCAAATACAGATGAAGAGTCCGAGACCGACCGGAAAACATTTCTGATCCGTTTGGTGTCCAAAGAGGGAGCCGTCGACCAGTACATATGAAAGAATGCAAACCAAATTCATTCCCTAGGTAAGGGGGACATCGGCACAATTAAGGAAAAATCAAATTCCAGTATACGTGGTCTCGCTACACTTGCGTTGAAATGCGAGAGCGAATAACCGATTACGATAAAATCAGGACAAAAGACTACCAATAACGATGCCGACTGTTAATCCACCACGTTGCACGTTTTACGAACAAGAAATCGAACAAGCAAGTGAGCAACTATGTAAGTGGAGATGGAATCAACTAAGTTAACACATTAGTGTATAAGTAGATGAGTCAGTATGGAGCTAAAATACGACTTTATGGTTTGCACAAAGTCGAATATCCAATCTCCAGCTAATCCTGCCAGGAAAGCCGAGCGGAGAAGCACTGCACAACTGCCTTGTTCTTGTTGACGATCATCAGCAGTATGCGTGACAAAAATCTGGAAGATTCGAACCCGCAACAATGAGTCGAAGACCACTATTCGGCTACTGGTGGCTAATCGGCTGCGAAAGTGGCTCACATCCAGACAGGATATTGTGGATATCTCATGAGCTGGAGGTAAAGGCATCTAAGCTGTGCAGGGCAAATGAACCGGTTTCAATGAGATTTCAATTTCTGTGTGAATGTCCAGGACATATGTTGCAATGCATAGGTTAGCGGAACGATTAACGCTTTTGCGGTATCATGAGAGAGCGGAGGAAATGCACTGGCAGTGAGACAATACATTAATTTGCCTTCGTTCTATGCGGAAGAGGTTGTCCCTTAGTCATCGGAAGTCAGTACCGTAAGTGCACGAGTAACGACAGGAAATACAATAATAACGTCATTTTTCTCAGCTTTGTTCTCAGTCTGAACCTCCAAAGCTAATGTTCCAGTAAAAAACCACCAAATGTGCACAACGCATTTTAACGCCCAAAACTACATATGTACAGCGCGTCGTACATGAAGTGTATGCTGCGACAACATTCTGGAAATTCTGACGCCTGATACGCTATTGGCTACCGGCATTCTGCGAACACTGGGTCATGATTAGCTGTTGGGTCCAGACTTCTTGCCAATCTTGTGCGGGAAAGGCTTCTCGGCCATAGCAGCACCAACTGTGAGCGGTAAAGCGGTACCTGTGTGAAATCCTGCCTAACAAGGATGCACCAAGCACGCTCACCTATAAACACGATACATAAAATCCCACAAAAAGAAAGCTTGTTGAGAGTACCACTCACCCCATATGGTATCATTTCGGGCCAAAAACGTTGGTGCGAATTGCTTCTTATTCTCTGTCCCAACAAATCCCAGCCAACTTGGATATTGTTGAAGATATTCACTTTTTTTCAGCAGGTGAGGCAAATCATTTTTGGGATTCAGAAAATAGTTGTCTTCGATGCTTCCGAACACATCTCCACACGAAGCTTGGCTGAAGAGGAAGAGAAAGTGAATATGTTGCTATAAGACGAAACTAGAATGGAAATAGGATGGGATGGAGCTAACACTTTGTGATACATGAATTAAGGAATCACCAGGAGGGGTTAAATTCTGGCACTAGGTTTTAGCGCAACAATCCCGTCAAAAAATTCAACAAACATACTAGCGGATATCTTGTGCCCAAAGGGATCGTTCGGTCAAACGAACGGGAGTAACCTATACTCAGCTATGCACATGTTTCGAGCTATCCAAGGCGCATTGTAATACAGTTGCCAGATCCTCAACAAGTGCGAATTACACATGAAACTGGTGAAAACGGTGTCATGCAAACCGAGAAGAAGAAATCATGCAGATCAAGCCATGTAGGTGGCCGTGCTCGCTGAACTGGTCGATTCACTGTTTAACGATGACTGATCATTGGTGTTACCCCAGTTGACGCAGAGGGGGCTTCAACCAGATTGTTCAGTTGATTGAGACTGACTGTGAGTCGGGTGTGAAACCACCGGGCCATTAAGCACAAAGTCATTCTGAATAGGGAGATTTCTATCGCGTGGGTAACAATGCGGTTTCCGAGGTGACCCATTAGGCCGGGTTGAGAAGACGATCGATTGGAAAACGATTGTTCCTTCACTACTCTTGCACGTTCAACTTTCGAGTAAAATCCCGGCAGATGGTCACAGCGCACTGATAAACCAAAAAGCGAATAACCCACTGTCCAACTGAGAAAAATAGACAGACGTACAGTCTACCGCCGATGTGTCAATACACAACAAGAGCGTCCTCAACATCCAATTATGGGGCATGTGGCTGAAATGTCAGTCACTTTTTCGACTTGATTAGAAAGGCGAAAACGTGTCGATGAACTGTGTTTTGGAGAAGTGGACTTTTCATGTTCTACTTAGTTGCGTCAAAGGATACAACTGAAACGAGCGATCTCGTCTCACTAGCGAGTCGAACTTTGGACATCTGAACCGACTTTAAATGCCTGAAAAACAGACACCATAAAACCAGAAGAGGTTTCTTGACATGGCTACTTATCCAGCTGCTGAAAACCCTTCGTTCACCTTGGATTCCACCAGGTACACGTAGTCACCGAGGTTCCATCAGTCTAATGTTCCCTTTGAACACCCAACTGTACGCGGTCGGTGAAATGGACATATTTGCAAAATACCTTGTTGTTACCGAAACTCGAGTGGAGAATATCATAAACGCAAGGTCCAGTTGAGTCTCTCGTTCTTGTCGTCAAGCGTCGACACGTTCGCCTTTCCAGACCTGAGAATTCAGGTGGGTCCAGAGTGCGCTGTGAGTCAATTGTGAAGGCGGAGAGGTGGCAGTGTATGAAGGAGATTACGAAACGTTTGGCTGCTATCAGAGCCACTCACCTTCCAGGATGAGGGCTGCGTGATCTCCACTGAGCTTGGTTGAAGACACTACAAGATATGGCTACCAACCGGTGTCAGTGGCGTTCTTGTTGTCAGTTTCTATTCAGATTGCCTAAATGAGAGCCTGGAGGTGTATGCACCTCGGAATGATTGTAGCAATCTAGCAATAAGTCTCTTTCCCGTCCACCTTAATTCTTTTCTTCACAATACAGCTTTCAAATAAATCATGGGTGTACGACAGTGGAGCATCGGTGTACAACAATGATGTCATGCTGTCGATGATGATGATGGTGATGTCGTCCAAGAAGCTGTCCTATCGTTGGCGGGATTCGGCTACCAAGACAGTCACATGACGTTTACTGCTTTATTGAGGCCGTTTGGATTACTGATTGACTGCGTGAAAAATGGAAAAATATAAGCCAACATGCACAAAGATCGAATCCAAGCGTGACGATTGATTAGCGTAGTTAACTAGTTTGGGCGCATCCACTGTGCGCCAGTTTAATAGTGCTGTGGTACATCTTCGTAAGATTGGAAGCAAATCATACGAAACAGCGGCTTCTCGGATAACGCAGGGCTGTTAAGACCACTACGAGAACTTTAGATAAACGAGAAGTGCGGAACAAGTTACGCGAGCCTGACACGATTCAAAACGACCAATCGTCTTTAGCAAGCTCAAGAGGCATTCTCTTGTCCAGTATAAAATGTGGGTGGAATAGTGAGGTTCCGAAAATTGGTCCACATTAGGAACAGTCATGCACATTTCTTTCAGCGTCGACAATTTGGGTCATAAGACGCACGTGTGGTGTGACTGCTCCTTGTTCACGATCATCCGGGCTCGTCTATTCGTGAGTCAGTATTCCAGATGGTCTTTATAATTGACGGTCTCATCAACGTGACCTTGTCTGCTCACTTAACAAATTATTTTAAGCGTCAAGCGTCTACTGGAAATATGTAAGAGCGATATCACTCGCCCTTAAATTAAAAGCGGCTTCTTTACAGATGAATAAGGCGTGTTTAGGAGCGGTTGTTCGAGCGATTGACGACATTCACATTAACAAAGCCACCTAAGACTCAGTAAAAAAGGTTTTCAGAAGCAAGTAAGAACACACCAAATACAAGAAAGCTTTACTGGCTATTCAAACGGGCTGCTCTGACAATAAATCTTCACCTAATCAAGAGTTAATAAATATATGGCCGAAACTTATAACGTAGTCTTGAGTTCGACAAACGCACTCGTTTACAAATCAAATTTGGCTTTCACGTGGTACTCAACTGGATCTTCCGTTTATGATATTCTTCAACTGAATGGTCCTAAGTTCTTATAAGATGATACGCTAGGGAGGAAACATTCACACACGAGGTTTCGGTTGGCATGAAGGTTAGATACGAGAAAAATAACGGGGAATCCGAGATGAATCCCACCAAACAGCACAATTATGGTTGTGTTGATCTGCTACCGAATGCTAATGTGTGCCCATTGCAGGAGCACTTCTCTACAGAAGGGGGATTCCTAAACATACAACTAGTTAGCTGCTCAACGCACACAAAGTGATGGTTTCATTTAAGGTGAACTGATGACACAATGGAAAACAATAGTATTTGCTGCGTGCCCGAACATCAGACGCCTATTCACGTGACCACGAACCACAACTATTCTACTGAATTGAAGTACCTCACAGTTAGAAGAAAGACGGGCGACCAGAACACGCGCGGAAACAAATTAATTACTGCTGACCTCAGAGCAATGATGCTCACAAATCGCTGAGTGACGGGGGTCAATTTAGAGAAATTGTTGTAATAGGTGAAGGCTGTAACGAGCAGCAATTTCTGTGAATTCCCGCAATGAAACGAACACATCGAGAGGAAAACGACCTTCGAACTAGACACAATGCGCACAGATTTTGTGACCAGTGAATGCATTAACCGATGTCAAGTAAATGATTGGGTTCAGAAGCCGCAGTTAGATTTGGTGGTGGCACAGGTTCTCTCCAAACCGAAACACCTGAAGTGTGGATGGAGTCGACTAGTAGAACGCACCACTGCGATAGCTGAATCGCGCATACCAGGTAGAGTCAGGGGTTGGTTGACATCACAATTTGATGCGATTTCGGAATATTTATTAATTGCTGAAATGAATCCACACGTATTTCATTCGTAATTCCAACCCCTATCCATGTGCTAACCGCGCGGCATCGCATACTGACGACCCACGAAGAGACATGACGGATGAATGTGAGAGTTGAGACTAGTCTAATTGGGTCAGTCTTCTCTTACTGTTTTTACTAACTGAATTCGCACCCTCCGGGTGGCAAATTATTAGCTACACTTCTGCATTTCGACAAGTGAAGAATGAACGTGAGTTTTCTGTAAGGATAAATTCCGAAGCCAGGAACAAGCAGTTTCTACCGTGCCCATTTTCGTCGCTTTCGTTATTTGCCACTGTGGTTGTTTTGGGGAAATCGGGTCATCAATCTTCTCCTGACTTTTGCACGAGTTCAACGACGTTATTGAATTCAACTATCTGCGTAAACCAACAGAACCGTCTCGACAGAACCTACACCAAATTATGGTTGGTCATCGAATGTACACACAAAGTATTCGACGTCTGAATGCAAGTATAGAGGAATTTTGCACTGTCTACTACGGGCTAAATTGATGTTCATACGGCGTCCGGTCACCATCAAGTCACATTTTCTACGATGGACGGAAAATAGGAGTTGAGTATTCACCAACTTTAACCAGTTAATGAATCGTTTTTCATATTCTCTGTCCAGCAGCTAGGGCGTGTGGAGAAGAATATTTCGTAAGTAGGGTATTTTAGAGAATAGGATGCTGTGGACAGGGGGTGAATACTACGAAAGGCTAGCCAGCAGTTCAGTTAACTCGTCCCAACCCCAAAAATCTATGGAGCTATGCTCAATTGATGAAACAAATGCAAGGCGTTCCCACAATTGTATGGAGTGAAGTTCCAGCTACTGCAGTACTGGGTAACACTAGAAAAAAAAGCTTACGAATTGGGGGTCCGTTAACCAGAACTAGTGTGTTTGAGACACGGACCAAGCAGTTAAAACGATGAATACGGTAACAGATGGAGTAGCACACAGGAAAAACATATCCTTACCGAAGGCTTTCTGACACTCAAAGCATTTTAAACAAAACAGACTCACGTTTCGAGGACGACGTCGGGAGTGGCATCCCCACTATTTGTAACCGGTGTTTCCTGAGTAAAAGAGAAGCGTGGAACAAGACGGTTGAAATCTAGGACACCAAAGTGGTTTTCAGTGGAACATTAGGGAACGTAAAGAAGTGGGAAATATGCACTACACTTCACACGATAAAAATCAATAACAGATATGGGGGACCTCAGTCTAGCAATACGTATGCGTAGTCAGGATGCATTGGTTTCATCCAACTGGTTTTGACGGCTCAAGACTATAGTAATAGGGGATCTTTGCTATGAGTGTCCACGCATCTATGCCTAAAAAAACTAAATCCTGGCGAAACACACTACTCGTAAGGTTGCAAGTGAGCGTGTTTCGACACCTAAACCTGTTGGAAACAGCCACATGCGTTTTAAACGGGGTCCCTGGCACAACGGTTTAGCGGTATACAACCCCCTTATCCTGTTGGCAACTTAGCAACAAATTTACAGTATTCAGATAACCAGTACATGGTTTTCGCTTCCACGTACGGGTTCGAGAGAGCATGGAATTGTGGAAATTCTGTGTCTAACTTTGCGATGAACTAATTGAAATCTGCGGTCCGGCGATTCCGATTGATCCGACATGTTTGGTGGCATCGTTTCGTTCAAGGCACACTTCCAGGACTACAAAGTGATCTCGCACCGGGGAAATCAGAACAAAAAGCTGTCCATCAGAATTTAGAGGGACGAATGATTTAATTACGTTTCAACGTTCCAACCTCAAATGTCTTTCGTTTATTTCTAGATCCTTATCAAGGGCTCAATTAGAAATCGGATTGAAAGTCAAAACTGATCGATGAGGTAAACAAGATGAGAGAGGTCTTTGATCAGAAAGTCCTAATTAATCGGAAGCTTAGAAGAACACGTACCAGAGAAACCAATCGCAGTTTCCTATTCGAGTTGTATACTCAAAGGCCGAAAGGCTATACGCACACATAAGATGGACTTCCGCAGTTGAAAACAGCAATCGATTTGTTGCATGTCACTCATCAACTCAATGTCAAATATATATATATAAGACAAAGAAAAATCTTTACTATCGGGATGTCGAAAGCAAGTCAATCAATAATGAAGTGCTAATCGACCACTTGAATATGTACACCTATGGTTTTCGTCTTCAGCAAACGATAGAACCCTACCGTTCATGATCCTGCACAAGATGTGAAATGCAGCTGACGGAACGACGTAAGGCCCAGTTTTAAGTAAATGAAATGAATGTAAACGAAAGTAGATAAAGCCAGTATCGATCATGCAATGGCCTTCAGATTTGAATCTGGGTGTGGTGGCGGGGATTGATTCATACACTATTGTATCCAAATAGGGATATCTCTGTCCTGCCAAGATCCGTGGCCAAGCACTCACACGTAAGGCGATAAACGAGATCGGAGATGGTGTGCTGAATTTGTGGAAATTTGACCACAAGAGTCAGGGTTCGGTGCCAACTGTAGATAACTACAGGTTGGCAACGTGGTAGGTGCACTTAATGGCTGAGAATAGCAACTGCTTCACGAGCTCAGTAGTACCGTCTCCTATAAATTTCAAACTCACAAAACCTGTTTTTGAGACTCACAATATCGGTAACTTCTTCAACCGAAGCATAATGTATTACTGGTTCCCTCCAGACATTCGAGTTTAACGCCGATAGTGTCCTTTTGTTCCGTTTGTTATCACATAACGTTTCAATTAAATACTTTTCGTAGCACATCAGCAGCAAAATGGATAAATGGAATTATCCTACCAGTGAGCTGACCGACGAAAAGTACTGTCGTTCCGTCGAGTCAGTTGGATGTCTAGAAAGCCAATAGTGCACATTCTTAACTGCTACTGTTTTAAATGTGATTACCTGAGACCACTGAAACTGTGTGCTGACTGTTCATCTCCCAGTACAGAAACCTTTCCTTGTGTGGACTTCAACTGGCTGAAATATCTGAGCACCGTAATGCACAATTTGACGTATACTATCAGATTAGACAATTATAGTGATTCAATGGTGATGACCACTTGTTCACCCGAATGAGTTAAGTGAAATTCGGCTGAAAGGCTAGACCTTAACTCTACGCAGGCACTCATGAGAGCGGCGAATCGCAGAAATAACATATAGCATGAGACAATCTCTGTCCGATCGACTTCACACCAGTAATACGCGACAATCGAGCGTGAAATTCCCAGATTTTGCCAGTTAGTTTATGATTGACTGCATAAAGACAGGATGAACGGACTTGGAAACCTAGAGGAACGTATTGTGGGTTTGTTGACAGCCAACTCTAATCGGAGGAGAAACGATCAATATGCCAAATAAAACAGACAGCATTCCTATGAATCGGAAAGCCAGCATAATCGAGTGGAGATTAGAATAGCGACCAAATTAGGGCTAGTGCTCGCTCAGAAATCCAGATACTCATAAGACTCACATGACGCGCGAATTACCGTCACTGTCGATGTCAACGTGAGGCCAAGTTCACCAAAGGTTGTTCAGTGATCGTATACGAAAGTACTGGGATAAACAACTGACATTTCTGTTTTATTGCTATTTGGTACGACTGTAACAACCAACCAACTGTATAGTAGAACATTGGGGCTGGTGATCCACTGACGAGTGAGACAGCTCCAAACCAATTAGCCGAGAAGTACTGGTTCGAAAGAATTATTAGCATTAAATCGGTTGCTTGATCTGGGTGGAATACTTTCGAGCAACAGGTGGCTGCCCGTGACCGCGCGATAATTTGTACTGCTCCTTCTAAACAGCTCGCATTCACGATCAGAAGGTCCCTCAAGCGGTTTCCAAGGCAGCCGCTTATTTGATCAGACTACTATGGGTACATAAATGACGTGAATATTTTCAAATGACATCTCAGTCTGCACGCTTGATCGGGTTTCGGGCTGTTTATGATGTTTGTCAACTGCTCACGTTGCGGCAGGTTTCATTTAGTCGTGACGAATTTCCCGAACCACAAAGGGTCACTGTACGGGTGCTACAACCTAATCCATATTCAGAGACGTAAAGAACTGTAGTGAAGTTCCTTCACGTCTAGCTGGAGGTTGTCACAGGTTGAAGCACATGTATCAGACTGAATAATCTCCATCCGTGCTTTTCCGTTCTGCTTCGTTCCCAGACACTACGACATGTGTTCGCATGTCTTGGAGATTACGAATCGAAGTGTCCATATGGGACAACTTCTGACCACCAGAATCGGGCTTACCCGGACGTGTCCTTATAGAAACTGTTTCGGAACCACGCCCCACTACGTTCGATGAAAATATTCAGAAAAGTTTAGGCGGACCTCATTCCATGAATACATGTTTCAAAGCTAGATACTTCCATACTGATAACAATAATCGTTCAGCCGTGAGGCCCCCCTCAGTGTCTAGCTGCCATGTCACCTGAAGGAAACACGAGGGTTGAGATACTGTCAAGTTGCCCAAACCCAGACAGGAACAGTCGAGGTCGGGTTCGAACCTTGACCACTGAACTATCTCAAGACGGGTGCAACTACAACATTGCACCTATGTCAGGTACTGCGCATGTCAGACGTTAAGCTGGTACATGGTCAACGTTGCAATATCGCACAAGGGGGCAGGCAAAATGATTGCTTTGCTGACATGCAACCTCGCCACCGAAACAAAGCTACACATTTCTTGGACATTACCGGAGGCTTGCATAACAGCCCGTTTTTGGTGGCCAGATAACGAAAATCAGCACAATAATCCTCGTATCTGTGCATTGGTCGAATGGTCCTCAAGCTGATGCATCAACCAAACTGAACTGCTGCATGCAAAAATTTCTCAACAGTTCGTCATGTGCATAAACAAACAGTAAGGCTGTCCGAAAACCGTAGAATGCAGACTTAGACTGGACTGGATCAGACCCGTCTCATCTGGTGAATTAGAATGCTTCGATCAAACGAACGTCCATCAAATCGGTACTTCTGATGCACACGAAACGCTGATGAGGCGACCGTTGCGATATTCTCTACATAGGTGGGCGAATCGGTGCGTATACTAAGGATGCCGGTCAGTGTTGAATGATGAGAAAAAGCTAAGTACCGTCCAATTTGTGTAGTCTAACAGGCCAGTAACTTATCAGTAGGTTCCGCCGGCTTTTGTGGGCTGAGCACTGCAAGTTGTGTCAACAGCCCTCCAATGAAAATAGCTAAACAGCACAGTAATGTCCATCGAGAGCAAGTGTCGCGCCGCTTGAGTGCACTGCACGAGGAACTGAGAGTAGTCACGTTTGGATATTATCCAGCCCATCCATCTCCACGCAGATTCAAACATTCACGCCTATCCATGACATCGACTGTCACCTTAGCCCGTTTTGAAACACACAATAGATAATGGACTCAGAACCAACTGAAAATTTCACCAACTTATTTGAGTTAAAAAAAACTGCATCAAAAGAATGTGGCCATTGTTAGCGGTGCATATCCAACAATGGATGACATAACTGCTGGTCGATCAAGCATTGTCGCTCTGTATTGATTGGCAGGCAACGGTCGCATCTCGCAATCAATCGATAATGCCCGATGGATCAGTGCATATGATCTGAGCAACATGGTGTGTGAAATGTTTCCGAGGACAAGAATACCGTAGTTAAATGTTACTTATCACTCCTACATCATTCACACCTGTGATCATCAAACTGGCAAGACCGAATTAGTGGCACTTACATTACGGCCATACTGCGCCTGAGTAGTACTTGCATGACACGCTCTGTGGCTGAAAGCGTATGTACTCAATTTGTCGATGTCAGTCGACACGGTTATGCACAATACCTACGCCTTTGGATATGCGAAAATCTGAGCGAAACCCATTATTCACCTATTTCATCGCTGTCCGGTTTCGCACTGTCACAACACAAATTGAATTTGACACCTGTTGTTTTTCATGAATTGCAGGCATCTTTAAACTACTTTGTTGTCGTCATTTGGACTAATCCCAAAAGTTCCTATACGGTTGAATAACAGAACACGTCGAAAGCCCGTGGAGCGATATACTGATACGTTTTCTATCGGTGAATT